CACCCTCCACGCAGCTGGATCTACCTAAGAAAGTATCACGTGGCGAGGCTCAACCTCTAGGACGATCTCTATCGGACCAGCCGCTTTCAAGCTCTGTAACAGTGAACGGAACGGACGATGTCTACGAAGCTTGGGGCGCTATTGATGACGATGAGGAGGAGAATGCATTGAAAGACGACGATCCGTTCAGTGCCCCAATTGTCACCAGCTCCCTGGCACCAAAGTCCGCCACTGTTCCTTTCGACGATGGAGGTGAGCCCGATTTTGCCGGGTGGTTGGCCGCACAATCCAAGGCCAAAGCGAAGAAACCCTTGCCCAAGGGTCTGAGCAAGCCCGCCGCAACCACAATCGGTACTCGAACCTCCAGTCATACCACCCTTTCCAAACCAAAGACGGTGGTAGCCTCCACCAAAAAAATTGATACGAAGCCCAAGGATGAGGGCGAAGATGATGGTTGGGGTGACGCCTGGGATTAATGCAAAAGATCCGACTGGTTGATCTCTCAACTCTCCTTTGGATATTCCGCATTGCAAGGCAGGGAGTTTTGGAGCATTGGATAGCTTTTAAGATACCAAGCACATATTGTAACATGATGATAGACTGCCAATCCCGCTGAGTTTCTATGGTCCGCATACGCAGACCTGACTTTATTGCTATGAATGGAATGAGGCTTATCGATTAATCACATGCTGCCAAATCCCGTGATCAGCACGTTCTGTTTCTTTCTCCGCCGCCTTTTCGGGCAGTACTCGGTGTAAGCTTCGGCTTCATCATCATAGTCCTGCTTATGGGGCTTCTATTACGGAAAGCTTTTGTACATTTGTGAGTTATGAGGCGGGATCAGTCAATTAGTGATAGGGTGTGGCCTACGCGCAAGGAGCTGACTGGTTTCTTCAACAGAGACAAACCTTCGTTAATTCTGCTGCCTTCGCAGTACTCACCTGGTCTCAAGCCGTGCGGGCATCACCGCTTGGGGGGAGATTCAGATTTTCCCGATAATCAGTCAAAGGCGCGATGCTTGATTATTGATCAGTCTACAGTCTATTGTTTTCAGTAGAGTCGCTTCCGACATTGCGGTTGACAATCATTCGACAATTTTGTGATGGATTCCGATGAGGCTCCTCCGCCATACTCCGCCGTCGATCCCTTACTCGCGCCGACGGTCAATAATAGAAATAACAATGCGTCAGCAGAGACAGCTCGTACCTTTCTCCGCCTTCGCGGTGGTGAAGCGTCATTGAGTGATATCGCGTCCAGGGATGGCTCCGCACCCTCCGTCGATGGTTCCTCAGCGGCGTCTTTCGTCCTCCCAGCCAACTTCGCGTCCGCTACGGCCTACTTCATAGAGCGGCCTCCAACTCATTTTGGCGAGGAACGGCCTACTCTCTCGCACCTTCTCACCATCTACCCGCGGAGCCAATCTAAAGACTTTCCCCGTCGTCCTCGGTGTTGGAGCCCTCGGACTGCGGAGATTACCCAGCAGGACTGGGACATGTTTCTGAAATATCTTTTTCCTCCGCATCTGGGCCTCGCAGCATCGTCCGCTCACTTGCCTCGGCAGCTGAGAGCCGAGATACAGAGGGATCGAAAAGATCGCCCGCAAGAGACCGATGAACAACGCAGGCTGCGCATCGCAGCTGTGATTGAGGAATGGAACGAATACTTCTTTGAGCCTCGTGCAACTCGCATCGAATTCATCTATGTGACGGAAACTGAAAATGCGCCTGTCTCTCCATTGTGTCCTCGCTGTTACCCTGCCGCGACTAGGGTATCGCGAACGAACCGGTCTACGCAGGCACACGAGGCCGAAAATTCCGCGTCCGTTCCCGCGGGCACGCCGCCAACGGTCACAGGGCAGCTGACAGCACCACCGGCAAGCGGTGCATACGCACCTGGGGTGTTCCCATACCCAAATCCGCAGATGCCACCTGCTCCCTACCCACCGTATGGTTCTCCTGCCTTCTTTCCCCCTGGTATGGTTCCTAATACTCCTCCGCCTCCTCCTGCTCCTCATGCATATCCTTACCCTCCTCAACCGCCTTCACAATATCAGCAGCCTTCCTCGTGGGGCTGGAACAATCCTTCGTATGGTCCGCAGTATCAGTACTCAAGCGCCTCCAAAGGTGGGCCTCTTGGCTGGTTATCATCGCTGGCGTCGCATGCGCAGAAGTACAGTGAGCGCATTACGGAGCAAGCGCAACATTATGGAAGGCAGGTCGAAGAGCAAGCCATGGCTCATGGACGCTGGATAGAGGAGAAGGCCGGACTTCACGGTCGAAAGCTTGAGGACGTTTTTGGCGGTCTGTCCAGTCCTCCTCGTGTGGAGTATACTGCGAACAACCCACAGACTCAAGGCTTTTACGCCCATGGCTATGGCTATCCGCCAGTGAATGTGGTGCCAACTCAACCCATGACCCCACCGGTCACTCAGCCTGCTCGTAGAACATCAGTTGGCTCTGTTTCATCTGAATCATCTTTGTCATCGATCGATTCGATATCGACGACGTCTGGCCTCAGTTCGACCGATTTGGCAACCGTTCGAGCGCAGCTTCAATCTCTTAATGACCATCACGACCGTGAGCTATACGAAGCCGCAGTTGGTCTTCGGCGTCAGCTCGATGTTTTGCGCGATTCCCGCCGTCAATCTAGCATTTCTGGAAGAGGCCATTGGAGAAATGGGCAGCAAGGGCATGGTCATGGCAGCTGGGGCCGGTGGGAGTCACCGCAGGAGCAGCAGCGGAGCTCTGCTGAGAGACGTGCTCTGAAGGAGGAGGTGAAAGCCACCAAGAAAGCATTCAAAGATGTGTTCCGTCGTGCTAGGGATGAACAACGGGAACGACGACGGATCAAGCGTAACCGCCGGCGTCAGGAACAACGATTCCGCCAAACATCAAGGGAGAACGAGCATCCTCCCGAAATTCCTCTGGAGCAGCGGCTGCAGAATCTAGAATTGAGCAATAGCCAGGAGAGTGGGACAATGGTTCGCACAGGCGCATCACATACGTCCACAAGGCAATCTGTGAGTTCTGAGGCCAGTKGCATTAGCTCAATAAACACACCAGGCACTGGGTCCGATGGCGGCAGTCACCGCGAAGGCGTAAACCCGGTGAACACAGAAGAAAACAAAGACGGGCAGGAACAAGGCGAGGCGTTGAGAGGAACTAATAGTTCTCCGTCGAAGAAAGACAAAGATGCTGGCTCAAACGATGCATCGTGATGGCCGTCTGTCTTTGGACGGGTGTCACCGCCCCGAGTGCATGGAAAACACCAGCCCTATACAAAAGGGTACTTGGCCGGTACAGGATCCTCGTATACCTGGATCCTCTTATGATGTTATGACTTTACATTTTCAGTACATATTCATGGACGTATTTTGGTCTAAACTGTTGATACTCGGATCTCATTTTAAATAGCCTTGTTCAATGAAGATATCACTGCATATTCTGTAGATCGAGCACGTTTGTCGAGGATTTCGTGTTTATTGTCCAAATGGCTAGCTCTCAGAGGTATATATGATGGCCACGAAGACTCGGTTCTACGAGCTGACACTTTGTTGCGAAGGGTTGGCTTCATTCCTCTCGACCAGATCGCCGACACCCAAACTCCGGCCGACCTTGACGCGGACGGTCTTTTCTTCCTTCTTGCCCAGGCTTCCAACCTCGTCACCCTCATCAGCGTCCTTTTCGTCACTCTTGGCGCGCTCTCTGTCCTTGCGCTCAATCTCCTTCCAGTCCAGCCATTGATCGGTGAGATCCAAGCGCATGGCGTACGCATCTTCCCCGTCCGCGTAGTACTTGCTCTCGACGGACTCGACCTTGAAGCCGAGGGTGTCGCGGTACAGACGCAGGGCGGCAGTGTTGGAGACACGCACATGAAGCGAAACGTAACTGGCGCGATGGGACTCGGCCATAGCGCGTTCTTTTTGGTTCAATCAAATTCCGTCAGTCATGAACAGGGAAATTTAAAAGGGGAAAAGCACGGGGAAGAAAAACATACGACTCATCCTCATCAATCTCTCGGCAATACCCAACCGGCGATGCGTCCGCATCACACTCAAACTCGTGATATGCCCGTGCTGCACCCCGTCCGTCGGCTCCTCCTCCATCTTCGCAAGTACGTACCCGACCACCTTGGGATACTGCCCGGAGAGGTCGGCGGTGCCTGTGCCTGTGCCTGATGTGCCTGCGGCACCGCCCTTGTGTTTCGAGTAACCATTGCGGGGCCGCATAACGGCCACGAAGCTCAGTTGCGGCCAGGTCAGGGCATGGTAGAGGTAGTATTTTAGAAAGTAGTTTTCGGGGAGGTTGGTGATGTTGCAGGTCTGGATGGAGGGGAGGAGGTCGATGTACGAGGGGTACGAGGAGAGGGGGACAATGTCGACCATTTTTGATTTTGGCTTGATTTGCTGCGGGTTTGGGAGGTTTGTGGTGTACGGCAAGTCCCTGGTGCTCTGGCCGAATCTTTAAGCGGTCCGACAGTTATATAAAGGTCAATTGGGACTGCCTGGCCTTTGACCGAATGGAAAATGGGCTTGAATGGGTGCGGAGCTCGAACAATTGGAAGACTGATAATGATGACTGAGAACCGGAAATCATGTGGTTAGAGCGCGCTAAACCCTATTCGATCAGCCAATGATATGCATCAACAGATCCATTCGACAATACATGGCGCCCTCTATTGTCCACGCGAATGTATATGGAGTTCACTCAAACCTATGTGCAAATAACCTATTGTTGTCATATAGTAGTCATTTCCTTCCTGAGAACCATGATGCAGAACAATCCCCATTTATATGTCTAAAAATATAATCCTCTGGAGAGGAAGGATGCTATATGAACAAACATATGTACAATGTCACCAAATGTATCAATGCAGTCATATCATCATGACAGATAATGGCTCAACTTAAATGGCGACCCATAACTCCAAACGCACTCAAGTAAGCAAAAAGCCGAGGTCTATGTGGTGATGGTGAATACAAAGAAGTCCCCAACCTCAAGTTAGAAGATCGAGGCGAACAAGTGAACTCCTGCAACAACTAACAGCGCCCTCAATAAGCCTCCTGCCGGTATCAGGCTAGGAGCAGCAGAAGTGGATCCACAGCATTTGCCGCTATAGGTGACGTTGTTCATCTGGGCTGCTACTTCAAAAACAGAGCCATTGAAATTGCCGTAGTTGTAGTAGTCGACGAGGAGGAAGTTGGGTGGACGATTCCACATGGCTATTAACAGGTTAGAGCCGGGCATCCTTTCCTTCTGGCGACTTGACAAGCATGAAAGAACTTACTAGTGCAGTTCTCGGCCATCCGTCCGAGACTACCCGGCCCGGACACGGCATTCGTCTGGTTCAATTCCGCAGTGTTGGGGATGAGCAGATCGATATTGGCAACTTTGATATCGACGTTCAAGTTGTGGTTGGCCATGTACAGGCGATTATGGGCATCCTCATTTGAGAGACCAGGGGGACGCTGAACGGTGCAAGGGAAAGTTGGGTCGGTTGGCGAGAACGGCGTCTCCCACATTTGGGAGAATTCGTCCATGAGCCATGGAAAAGCAGTTTGGTTGGCTTGATAGTCCATAAACACGACGGCTCTCTTGCCGGACAAAATCATGGTCGACAAGGTTGGCCAGTCGTCTAGGGCCATGGGAATCTTCGGAGGCGTATAGACCAGATCGGACAGGCCCGAGTCCTCGATCGGCTTGGAGAAGTTTCCCGGCGCGACATAGTCGTAGTTCCCAATAAGGATGGTGACCACATCGTACGGGTGCTGTCTTATCCATTGCGTGACCGTGGTGAGGTAGTCAGCCAGGGTGCCCACGTCGAGTAGGTCACAACTGGTATGACAGAGATACATGGTGCCATTTTCATAGTGAGTCTGGAATTGCACTGCACGGGCCCCGTGTGTCAGGTTAGCGGTCGGTCTCTCGCAAGGACATGTTCTTCAAGAGTACGTACGCATCCGGACACCGTCGTTCAACTGACTGACCACCCCCAAAGCTTGGTTCGCAGCAGCATTGCCTGGTTTGACAAAAGGACTGTTGTGAGCAGCCACCATGGTGATGTTTGAGTACTTGCGAGCACAGAATTCGGGATAGCCATTGCAAGGTTGAGTATTGACAACGGGAGATGCCGAAGCCGACGCCGACGCAGTCATAGTGGCATTCGCCGTGGCATTGCCGACAAGTCTCGTCATTGTATCTGTGGAAGTGGTAGGAATGGTCGAATTACCGACAGTGGTAACGTTAGTCACAGCGGTCGAGGAGCCGACTTTGCCATCGCTGTTGGTGGGAAGAGTAAGAGTGGAAGTATACGAGAGATAAGTGCCGGTAGGCAAAGTTGCATCACTGACATGATCTGTGATTGTTCCTGTGATGGTGAGTAGTGCATTGGTCGTTGTTGTAGTGCTAGTAGCAGAGGTATCTGCTGCTGCCAGCGCCAGAGGGATGGCTGCTGCCGCCAGCAGTGGCAGCCAACAGGTTAGCAACTGCATTGTTGCTGCGACGACGTGGTTCAGACAGGCTGGAAACTGGAATCAGATCATATAGGTCGTTCTATCCCCGGCGATGAAGGATTAGATTTGAGTCTGCAATCTGGTCTTTGTATGTTCCTACCGAGTGGATGCGCTCATTTGGGCTCGAACCCTGGAGTCCGTCAGCCGACGGTTTTGAGGGTTCAACAGGAGAAGCGAGAGAGAGAGAGAGGGAGGGAGAGGGAGGGAGAGAAACTGTGCTAGGGTAAGTTTAGGTATCCAGTATCATACCTGTAACGACCTTCCAGAGGTTGACGTAGCGTAAATAATGTGCCTTAACCTACCAGGACCGAGAGATGCTTGGAACTAGATATCCGTAATTTGAAAAAGTTAATTGAGGCATCCGAAGCCTAAAGGAGCATTATTGAGGGCCCACTTGCAAGCCACTGGATAATCAGTGGCTGATCCCAGGCAGATCGTGGCGCTCTTTAGTGGATTATCGAAATAGTACCCAATCACAAATAGCTCTGCATTAGGCAACCGGAAAAACAGAATCCACATAGTGGGGAACTTTGGGGCTGAATGACGTTGAATTGCATTTCAGGGGCCAATGAACAACTACCTTACAATCGAATAAAGGGTAGTTGCAATGTGCTCGAGTCATTGTTGTTCAACAGTCCAGACCGTCACATCCAATTTTTGAGATTTTGACCGCACTCCAGAGTGGACCCGACTTTAGAGGCCCAACACAAAGGCTTAAGGGAATGTCCAGCTATATCCGACGCAGAAGTCACTCAGGTTATACTGTCCCTCTTGTCAGTCGATCAACAGATCCGCGATGATGGCGTAACGACCAGGCTGTGCCAATTGACTTGATCGCTGACGGTAATTTGAAGATCGCTGACGAAAGTGGAGTCTCTCAGCTCAGAAAAAGGGATATTGATAGACGGATAGACAGGTTATCTCATAATACTATTGGTTAAATCAATATAGCTACCTATCCACTGCGCCACTGCCTCCCTCATGGCCTTTTTCTACCTGCCCACTCTGAAACCTAGTTGTACCCTTCACCCTTTCCACCGACCTACTCCCTACGTAGTAGAGAGAGGTACGTAGGAGTTATCAAGTCTATCCTGGCTTAACTGGCCGGTATCTGTCTACTAGGCTGCTGGCAAGTTGATGTCTCAGGTGGTCGACTCCCTACTCCGTGCTTGTCTTGACGCTCTTCATCCGTCAAGTTCCCTTCTCTCGAGATTGATGCTGAAATTCTACTATCCCTCCGTCTCCGTCCCTATTCTGATTCTTTCTATCTCTTTGCTATCAACCTTCCCTTCACCGTCATTCTTATTTTTACTTGATTGTTTCCTTGCCCTCTGAGGACGGACATTCCATATTGACTACTTGCCGCCTGTCCCTTCGATGTCTAACGTCATTCGTCCTACGTCCCTGGATTAGCTCTGCATCATTGGGCTTCTACAATCATATAGATATTTCCTGTTATTGCCCCCATCCGTATTACAAGTTGCTTTGATATATTCTTCTCGATCCTGATTCTCAGGACGCCTAACGATCACACGCTTAATCCGTCTCCCCCGAAGCTCTATACTTGTTCCATGGCAAAGCTTCCAGCATTCCAGAGACGATCAGAAGGGCCGGTTTACGGCCGGTCTCGGTCGAAGGTGCTTTGGCATCGGATCATACGCTCCTTACTCTATCTGATAGCCTGGATTTTCTTGCTTCTGGTAGTCATTGGCAATGTTTCCAACAAACCGGTTCTCCGAGAGACCTACTTTCTCAAGATCGATCTATCAAACATCGTTCCTCTGTCCGTCCCAAACGCCGTTCTCATAAACAGTATTGCCAGAACTATCGGTCTTCATGACTTCTACCAAGTGGGATTATGGGGTTTCTGCGAAGGATATATGGACTCCGGGATCACCCGCTGCTCCAAGCCAAAAACCCTATATTGGTTCAACCCAGTCAAGATCCTCCTCAGTGAGCTGTTGGCGGGAGCTAGCAGTAGGTTATCCCTCTCCATCTCAAACTGTTATTTATCGGATATGCAATGTTAACGTCAGTCTCTTCCCTTGCTCATAGTTGCTCTCCCAAGTGATATCACCGATGCCCTCAAAATCGCTCGCCTCGCTTCTCACTGGATGTTTGCTCTCTTCATCACAGCCACTGTCCTGACCTTCATTCTGATCTTCCTCGCTCCATTTGCCGTTTCCTCTCGTCCTCCTCAGACAATCTCGCCTGATCCTAGTGTCAACCATTTGCACCCTCCGCACCGGCGGCGCACCTTCGTTTTCCTTCGGGCCTTTCCTTTTCTCATCCTGACTTTCCTCGCCGCTCTCTTCACCATTGTCGCCTCAGTCGTTGCCACGGTCATGTTCATCATCTTCAAGAATGTCTTCACTTCGTCTGGATACGATCTCAACATAGGTGCCGAATTGGGATACCGAATGATGGCATTCATGTGGATTGCGTCGGCATTCAATCTCCTGGCTTTTATCGTGGAGGTTGGTTCATGCTGCGCTGCCTGTTGCGGCGGCCGCAAGGCCCGGAAACAGCTCAAGTCTATTAAGCAAACAGAACGAGGGGCTTTGAAGGAGAAGGGCAGTCCCCATAGTCCTTCGACGACCGCAACAGATTGAACTGGGACTCTACCCCTAACTCTTTTTTCTCGGGATTAAAACGTTGTCGCTTCCTCCTGGTCTCTCGCATGGCCCTGACTGGAAATGGAATCTCTCCCAGATTCGGCCTTTGTACCCGTCAGCGCGAGGGTATAAAAGGAGAGAATCTCGGCCGGGACGATTCGTATTGTTTCCCGGTCGAAACTTCCAAATCCGCAAGTGAGATGCTCCAACAAGTGTCAATACTCGACTCGATTATCATGTACATATATACGAGACCTTTTACCTTACACATCATCATTATCTCGAGCCGCTGTGTACGGCGTCTGATCAGCTACGGTGAAGATGTGGACGGACTATCCGTTGCAACGAGCGCGTCAGGTCCGGACAGTACGCACGAGCACAAAGACCATGTGTCTCATCTCTAGAGGATATATAAATGGTGATCTATTCTCTATTCTCTGGAGCTGTACCGATTTTGGGTTTACTTGTCGCTGAACATTCATGAGTCTTACGGCCGCATAACGATTGGCATGATTGCTTAGATCCTAGATCCGAAAGGGATTGTTTGTCTTCCTCATAGATATCACTGTATTTTGAGCTGAGTTCATAGATCATTAGTCTTTATTTTGAAATAGAATTATTCTAGCAATGGTGTGCTGGCTGATGTCTTCCTTTAATTCCTCAGGTGCTGACTAGTCTACAATATGCAAGTGTAACTGATCTGTGTTATGCATGAGGACCCTCCAAGATCCGTTGGACATGGTGTATCGCATGAACGCTTTGACAGAAGATCAAATATGCAGTGTCGTCGTGATAATGACATGGGTATCGAAACTTAAAAGTCGTTCAGCCTCGCGCCAGCTCCTCCTCCATCTCGTGGAGCAGCTCGTCCTCGACATCCATTTGATCGTTATGGTTAGTACTGCTTGCTGCGTGCATCTCGGGAGGAGGCACAGTGGGCGGCTGATTGCTACTTGGGCGTGGCGCGGGAGACTGCTGGGAGGCCCGAGGCACGGATTCCGAGCGCAGCGGAGGTCGAGGTCCTGCTCGAGCTACCGTAGGCTGTGCGGAACCTGATTTCGCTCTTTCGAGCCAGTTGTACTTCTTCTTCTGCAGTGATTGAAGAAGCTCACCGGTTCCCTGCGTTGGCTTCGATGGAGCAATCGAAGCTGGATCGGGTGTGACGTTGGGCGCTTCATCAGTAAGATCAATAGTCACCGTTTCTGGCTGTGGCTCTGCCGGAGCGGGATGTTGCACTGATCTAGTTGTGATTCCACTTCGCTGCGAATTGTTGTGAGGCGGATTTTGATGAGGCAGAGGGGTATAAGGAGTGCTGGGCGCATGGAAAACTGATGTAGCGAGTGGCTGAGCTGGTACAGGGACATTGTTTGGTGAAGAGGCAGGACCTGGCATGGGATGCTCTGAAAGAGGCAAGGCAGGAGAGCTCGCAAGCTGCTGGCCGGGTGCAACAGATTGCGGATGCGTAGCAGCCTGCGGTGCATACCGGGGCCGGTACCCGCGCGGAATGGGAGCCACGGAAGGCATTCTCTTCTGAACCTGGATCTCATAGAGGAGGTTGTTGTATATAACACTGAGATCATGTAGTCTGCCTTTCCAAACCTCTATTTCTTGCTTGTACTGCTCTGCTCTTCTTTGGTGTTGGGTGGACACGCGTCGCAGCGTCGCGTTTTCCTCCTCGAGTATCTGTGCCCTTGACTTCCCTGTTGATGCTTCCAGTGCTGTCCATTTAGACCAGGCATCCCTGTATTTGTCTCTTTCGTATTTGAGATGTTGAACTTTGTATTTGAGATGCGAAAAGCGGGCGTTGATCTGGTCATTGGCGATCTGAATGCACTTGACGTGAATACCTGGAGCTGAGGGAAGATAGCCCAAAGGTCCTTGATACACTGGATACGGAGATGTGTATTTAGGTTCACGATCAACTCGCTGCAGAGCCTCACGGTCGGCATTGGCAAGAACGTCTTGGGTATCGAGAGAGAACTGTCGCTTGGTCAATTCACTTATGGGAAGTGATACGCCCACAGCCTCATGATCGAAAGTCACCTTGTCAGCAGCTTGCATGTGGACATTGCCACGAGAATTCAAGCTCGGACGACGAGACCCATCATACGGAGACTCCGCGTTCGCAGAGTGCAGTGTTGGTCTCTTCTCAGAGGAATACTCAATCCCAGATAGGTCCGGCGGAATGTGGAAGGCAGGATCTTCAAATAAAGGATCAAAAGGGTCAAAAGGAGGCGCGGGTATTTGCGACTCTGCAATACCACCTGGTGTATTGGGCAGTGTTTCAAAGTGATCTAACTGAATAGTGTCGGGCGAGGAGAGCGACGGCGTTGCATCCAGAGAAGGCGCACTGGAGCTCTGTAGTGAATCCGGCATCAGTCGTTTCTCAGGCCTGTGCCACAATTGGAAATCATCAGCCAAGGCTTCGTCGGCGGTCCGTTTCAAAGACGAGGAGTTCGCGTCGAAGTTGGCCATCACAAAGTCGGGACCAAAGAGAGGATCGTAGAGCAGATCATCTGCATTTGGCGTAATGTTCGAGGTCAAGGGCTGTGGAAGTCTGGTCTGCGATGTGGAATTTGTGGAACTTTCAATCGATGCGACTGGACTGGCGGCTTGACTACCAGAGCTCTCCTGTCTCAACAGAGACGGGCCGTCGGGTGTGCCCTTGCGTGGGCCTCTCGTCTGATCATTGGGGTTCGACCCTGCGGGCTGACCGGTCATAGATATCCTCGCATCTTCGTCGGATGAACCGTGCTCGTCAAGCAAGGAGCGCGGTCGAGTGACATTGGTAGGTTGTAGCAGCTGCGACCCAGGGGGAGGTGTAAGCCCCAGATCATTCACATGCATATCATGATAAGATGGGGGAGTTGGCAGATCCTCAGGAGCAAAAAGGCTCTGAGGGTCATATGGTTGCGAAAATAGAGGGCAGGTCGGGAGAGAGGTAGAAATACCTTCAACCACGCTTCCTTCCATCTCGACCTCAGAAATCCGAGGACAACCGGCAGTCAAAACCAGGGTAGCACAAAATACCAAGGGGTACGAGCTGCTGGAGCGGTAGCTCAAAACTTATCCGTTGGTTTCATCCGGCGGATATTGAAGTTGCGAGGCACTGACGTCGCCGAGGCGTAAGTGATGTGGCGAGCAAAGTAAAAGGAACAGAAAAAGCACAAAGAACACCGTACCAAATAAGAACTGATGAAGGCTACAGTTGAACAGAGAGCACCTGCGTATGCTCACGCCGAGTAGCTGTACTCTGTGGTGTTCAGCCGCTTGTGCCACTCTTTGTTGTGCCACAGATAAACAAGGATGACTATGCCAGAGGGCACTGCTCAATCACACAATAGCTGATTGGTAAGGACCATGTAGCGATACATGCAAGGTACTGATAGCAGAGAACGAGAAAAATAAGAAATCCTCGGGATGGAACGATCAGGCGAGTTCGAGTTCGATGAAGTCGAGTCAACAAGATCAGACTCGGACAATCAAGCAAGGAGAGCCAGGGGTCATTTTAGGCGTGTAATAAACGGCAACAAGGGCAAGCAGAGTCCGGTATGCGCAGAAGCAAGGTAATAGAGTCCGCAGTCCTTCAATAGGACGAAGGGACCTGAGGGGATATATGACAATACGGAGCCGGAGAGAAAGGAAGCTCGAACAAAACAACAACTGCTTTTTTCCAATCCGATAATGGCGTTCCGCCTTGTTCACCGCCTATATAACCGCTCACGTGCCCTCCCCATGAGCTGTTTCACTAACCCCAATCATGATTGTAATTGGTGGTTAAAGGCCGGCAGGAAGAGTACCTAGAGTAAGGTACCTCTCTAACATCCCAAATACTTTACTTCTCCCCTCACCCGCAACCACCCAAAGAGGGCTCTCAATCACCCAGCATCCTCAAAGATTTTTGAGTCCTGCATTGTTGTAACTTACTCATAATGAGCGTCATTCTTTGTACTGGTAAGTGGGGCTTGGGAAGATTCCGCAATCTCACACCCTGTCAGAGCTGCTTGACTGACGTAGTTGTTGTGGGATGTCGTAGCGGGCTACGATCATACAATTCGGTAGGCGAAGCGAATGCTTTCCGGTGCTGCCTGATTCTTTTGGAAATTGTGCGCTGATCTATCTGGAATAGATTTTGGGAGGCCCTCTCAGGAATATGTTCGCGGACAATTCAGCACCCTGACTCTCAAGTCAATCGTCTCTGCATCACCCCCGACAAGCGCTACCTAGCGGCCGCGGGACACAACAATGTCAAGCTCTATGATATCAAGTCAACCAATCCGAATCCAGTCATGACGTTTGACGGTCACACGAACAACATCACGGGGGTCGCATTCCATTGTGAGGGGAAGTGGATGGTTACCAGCTCTGAGGACGGGACGGTGAAAGTATGGGACACTCGTACTGGGAGCTTGCAGCGCAATTATGCACACAAATCTCCAGTCAATGACGTGGTGATCCACCCCAATCAGGGTGAGCTAATTAGTGGTGACCGGGCGGGTATCGTCAGGGTCTGGGACCTAGGGGAGAGCGTCTGCACCCACCAGCTCATTCCCGAGGAGGACGTTGCCGTACAGAGCGTTAGTGTCGCAAGCGATGGCTCTCTCCTCTGTGCAGGGAATAAAAAGGTACCTTGCTGAACTCGGTAATTTCTAGCGTCGTTAGCTAATGAGCATTTGGTTCTAGGGCAATGTCTACATCTGGCGCATGATCCAGGACGCTGAATTGACTCGTATTGTCCCAATCTGCACCTTCCAAGCTCACAAAGACTATCTCACACGGGTTCTCCTTTCTCCTGACGTCAAGCATTTGGCAACTTGCTCCGCCGACCATACCGCTAAGGTCTGGAATCTCGATCCTGATTTTCCTCCTGCTAAGATGGCAGCGATAACAGCAGCCAAGGCCAAGGCCAACGGCAATGAGTCGCCTGCATCGGAAGCCAAGGAGTCTGTAGCGAAAGATCCTGTTGCGTCCCCGACATCGCCCAAAGTCCAGGACCTTCACGTTGGTACTGACCTGGGAAGGAGCGGGGAGTTGAACCCGATCACCTACATCAGAGGAAATGCTCCTTCAAATTCGGAGCCGCAGCAGACTTTCCCGGTGCAACCGGATGGACCTCCCATGGATATGACTACCGGGACGCCGTTTCTAGAGACCACGTTAGCCAATCATCAACGCTGGGTGTGGGATTGCGCGTTCTCTGCAGATTCCGCCTATCTTGTCACTGTTTCGAGTGATCACTATGCGCGTCTGTGGGAGCTGGCTTCGGGTCAAATCATTCGTCAATACAGCGGGCATCACCGCGGGGCGGTATGTGTCGCATTGAACGACTATTCAGAGCCCCGTTGAGGTAGGGTAGAGTAGCCCAGTGAGATTCTGGGATTTTCGAGTGTCATACTGCATGTCCATGTTCATGATTCGTTCTTTTTTTTGTCTCGATTGATTCAATTGTTCCTTGGTTAGCATGGCGCCTGGTCTCGGGAGAAGGAAAGCTTTTACTACCGCTTGATACGGTGTTTCGGTTAGTCACCCTTAGCTTATCCATTCTAATGATTTCCTTCGGACTTCTTCACTGTCTATTCATGAAATTGGGCGGTTTTTAAGTATTGGAATTGAATTTGATGACTCCATTGGATGAATGCATTCGCTCGTGCAACCTTTTTTGACACCTCTGCTTCTCTCCCGAGACCTCTTCCACCCTAGTGTGCTTGAGAGTTAACTTCTATACGTCTCGGCACCTGAAGTGCTGATACAAATTGCGGCAATTCTTGAGCTAAGGGATATCGTAATCAACATTGTTCTTGTACATCAGGCCTCTGAGAACATATAACAGGCGAAGGCATGCGAAAACAACCGCACAATCGTAGAAGAAATGAAGATGAAATGGAAGTCACATCAGAACGGAATGTTGAACTTTCAAAAGCTTCAAACAAAATGGCGTCTCCCTTTCTTTCACTTTATAAATTTCTTGATCTGGATGCGACTAGCCCAGAGCAAACCATGTCACACTGACGACGACATCGAGGCCCCGCTCTTCAGCCCCGGGATACTTGAATGTCCACATTCCATCGCGGTTGACGTCCCAGAAGGCGCCCGAGGCAGAGTGCATACCACGCTTGCCGGCATTGCCGACCGCACCGTCCGCTGCGGAAGACTTATCGATCAAGCCTTGTTGAACAATGGTGCTGTTGACGGTGAAGCGGTATGGAGGTGATGTCGCCGGAGTCTCTGGTGCGGTAGCTGCAATGAGGGCCTTGAGGATAGTGTTCTAGCGAATCAAAGGATTATAAATCAGACATGCTCTTGGTAGTCAACGTGCCTGAGCACTCATCATTTGCCGCAGGTTGATATACTCACAATGATCTGGGAGTTCCATTCGCCGACCTTGGCGTGCTCGTAACCCTCGGCGCTCTTCAGGGCCGCATCACAAGCCTTGGATCGACCTGTCAGTACAAGTATAATGCCCAAATTAAGATCTTCGCCAATAAGGTACTCAAGTCGATCACACAATGGCTACTATTGACAGAGTGGAAGAGGCAATCAACGTACATCTGTGGCGATCTTAGTGAGCTCCGGAATGGGTATGGGCTAAAAGATAAGAGTAGAAGTCAGTCAGTATCCGCGACCAAAAGTGCAATATTTGAATGAAAGATAAAGTTCGATGCGGAGTGTCGCAGATGATGCTGCTAAGATTGATATGGTTGGTCACGCACAGAAACAGGTCCCTTCTCGACAGCCATTGTATATGAGGTTCCGTGTAGAAGGCGTTCACAATCGTGATAAGTGAGCTAAAGCGCTATAGTCAGCAGGTATATCACTTCAAAGCCTATAAATTGCCGTGCAGGTCGAGGGAATGCGGCGTAACCACGAATGCTGGAGGTGCGATTGCGGGGAGAATGAGACCGCTGTTCGGAGCTAGTCAAACAAATCAATTGACAGGATCCAGGTCCAGTTTAAGCTTACCAGGTGGGGTACAGATATGCAGGAAATTTAGATAACCAGATATGGATAGCACTGCAGGAAACAGAAGAAGTGAAAAGGTTAGGAGATCTCAGCCGATGTGCTTTCTGCTTTGGATGTTTGGGGGACTAGACAACATCGGAGTCTGTGGCATCATGGGTGTGGCTTGGCGGTTAATGATTGGACAATGAATTGTGCCAAGCTATTCCGGAACCAGCTTAGCCTCTACTTTATCTCAAACCGTCACCGCCACAAGGACACGGCAGAACGATATTCCATGTCAAGGCCTTAGGCAATCAAAGCACAGCAAAGAGATGGAGCACGTGGGGACTCTTGGGCGGTCGAATTGGGCAGAAGGATCGCACTAGTCTTCCTTTGGCTAGCATTTGACCGCTTGTGATACCGGGAGGGGTATTTCTCCCGATTAGTCTCAGTCCAGCCCTCTTAGTTGTCTTAGTTACATCAGTCCAGCCAGCGCCCATATATTACCTGCTTGCGACCATTATTATAGCTTCCTTTGGGCTGTGCGGTCTTCCTCTCTTATCAAATTTTTTTTCCTTCCAGTTGAATTCCACCATAAGAGCTGCAGGATATCGGTGATCACGTACCTACGTGTTTGTCAACCATTGATCAGCTGTTCCTCGTCGAATCCGGTAGCTCTCTTGACACTCCCATCCGCTTTACTTCTCCCATTTTATTTCCAAATTTTCACATTCGCGAATAATGTCGAGTCAACCTCTCCTGCAGACTGCTCCAGGTATGTGTCATGGTAGCTATTAGGTCCTCATTTTGGATCGCCGTGTGCTTACTCGTCACCTGTCGATACAGGCAAGCGAATTGCCCTGCCAACCCGGGTCGAACCCAAGGTCTTCTTTGCCAATGAACGTACCTTCCTCTCGTGGCTCAACTTCACGGTGATCCTGGGCGGGCTGGCCGTTGGCCTGCTCAACTTTGGCGACCGCGTCGGTCGCATCTCCGCCGGATTGTTCACGATCATCGCAATGGCAGCAATGTTATACGCCCTTTTCACATTTCACTGGCGGGCGCAGAGTATTCGGCGACGGGGGCAGAGTGGAATTGACGACCGGTACGGTCCCACTGTACTGGCATTGTCGCTTCTGGCGGCTGTCGTGGTCAACTTTATCCTCCGTATGAAGGTGGACTGAAGATCGTCTTGCGGGTCTGTGCCAGTCGATCTTTTTTACCTGCCTGTAAATGTCCTCACAACACATTCTCTTTGGGTCAACCGATAAGCCGACGATCCTTCCGCGATTGGTGTTTTGTGTACAACACTGCAACAAAAGTTCAAGCAACCTGAACGATGACGACTTCTACTTATGTCCAAGAGCTGCGGGCCAGGTCTTTTATAGGGTTTTTTGTCTAGGATTTTGGTTTTGACGCCGCATGTATCTTATAGTTCAGCCCGGGGACTTCATCTCGCCTTCTATGTCCACTTCGATCAAAGGACTCCGAATGAGGGTGCCCTGAATGGTAGAGGCTTCAGGTGGCAGGTCCCTTGAGATGAAAGTACATTGTCTGTTATATGAAATCTGTCCAAAGTCATAAATGATTCTCGCCTGTCCTCTTCAGATATTCTTCCCAAGGGAATGTTTCGAGGGAACCTGCCTATTTCCCTGCGCATTAGCCGTCTCATTCTCTTTGTACTTGGTCGTCCAGTAGCAACTCCTCCAAGCGTGCCTTGCCCAAGCTGCATATGTGGCGGCAATTCCCAGACCGTCCCAGGGCCCCTGCCTGGATTTTCTGGTCATCAGGAGAGGGCGATCATCCAGATAGCCGTGGGAATTGGATCTTGACCATCATTTGAAGCAAGTTCTGTTCGAAATTCAGAGGTCGGTACAATAGAAGGAGTAGGCACATAGTTTGACTTGATGGAGCAACATTAGCTCTCATCGCTGAACCTCGATACTTCTCCTGTTCAAAACAATGTCGGTTGTGCGCTGCAGACATTTAGAGGAGCCTGTCTGGCGTAGTCGAGCATAGCAGACGGTAGAGCGTGGGGTGCGGAGTTGCAACGACGAAGGCTTCATCGTCTATCCAATAATCATGGTGCAAGCTTGACTTTAGCCCGATTACCTGACTGTAGAGTCGCTTGGGACCAGTTCGAGTACTTAGGCTTTCGAGCACTTGTTCGAGAAGCGTCTGATTGCCTTTGGGTGTCTTGCTTCTCTTAAATGGGCCTGATCTGCAATAGCTGGTGGAGAGACATTATGGTAATGTGGGAGTTCGATCTATGCATTTTTGAGATAATCTCATCACCGAGAACATTCCAGAGACTTTCACGGACACGATCATAGTATCTGTGTCTCTGGAAAGTTTTGAGTGGGTTAATGGTTGTGTTCGTCTTCTCTATCTGGCGGTAGACCTCTTATGTTACCTTTAATACAGTAGAGAGATAAGGTGAATATAGTCCCAAAGCCAAAGCATGGAGCTTTGACCAAACCTATTACATCCATAGCCGCTGTCAGCACATGCAAAAAGGGAATTACCTTAGATACCTAGAAAGGTATTGTGCTGGGTAGTAGGCTGGCGGCAATTTGATTCGTTGTGACCGCGGTGGCGATGCAAGATCCAAGGTACCTATGATTGATCCATGCCTCTTAAGGCTATACCTAGTGTGCCTTGGACAGAGAGGTACCTCTCTACCTTAAGTAGTACTAACTTTACCACTCTCTCTACCTTCTAGGTGGACAGTTATGTAGTACTTAGATAAGTAAGTGGAGTAGACAGCCTATCTCATTATTCCAGTACAGTGAAGGTAGATAAGAAAGGCCGTGTCTGTTGTTCCAAAATGCGACTGCTTTATATCCTGTGAAAGTCGGCCATACGCAAACCTGAATCCGTACTTTTTAACCAGTTTATGGAGCCGAAGCCAAGCTGGCCCACGCAGCAGCGCCGAATAATATGGGCCAGTCCAGGCCCCGGATCACATTAGAGGATCCACTGGGAATGTATCCTGTTTCTCTAAATCGGTGCAAAGTAATCTGATTTGACAGGTCACTATTTCTGACTGCTCTAGCCTGTGAGAACTTTGGAACAAGTCAACCGCCTGTTATCTAGGCTGTTACAGTAGATAGGCACCTTAGCTACCTAGGCATAGGATGTTGTCACTCAATCAAATGTAAGATGAGATGACCGGGTAACTAGGTGACAACATTGATAATAATAATAATAATAATAGTAGTAGTAGTAATAGTAATAATAATTACGGAGTGTTTCGTACTTTCTTTGGGTATGTTAGCGATAATAATGTCTCAGTTTGAAGTCTGCCTTCTGAGGTAGGTTTATTTTTATTATTATTGACTGCTAAGGAGAACGACTAGATAACTGTAACTGTCTAAACTGCTCACTAAACTCCAAACTCCGCGCTATTACTCCGTATTCTGCTGTGTATTGTGCTTCCATGTTCCATCTGAATCAATCAATCAATCAACTAAGCTGATCTCAATTCCCCATTCGCATTCCTGGTCCCTTCCCCTCTCTTCTCCCAAAAGCCCAACAGATCTCTTAGACTACACAGCCATCTCCCTTCTCCTTCTGTCACTCTCCAAGCACGATCCCATCCTCAACTACTACGAGATAGTCTGGAGACTTCCCTCTTGTTTGAACTCTCTCCTCAGATCGGTCAGTGGAAGTATTCCGTACCTCAACAGCCTATCTGTCCATCAACCATCGTAACTTTTGTCTCTCTGGTCACACTGCAACCCAAGTCACCCAACCGACCGTTGCTCGAGTCTGTTCCTGGACCCTGTCCTAGTTGCAATATACTGCAGTTTACTACTCCTGAATTTATCAGTTATTTTGTTGCTGTTTGTTTCATACCCTTATTATTATTTCCCTTGTTGATGTTATCATTGTTGTTGTTATTATTAATCATAGATTACGCCACCCTCAACCCACTCCATCCATCCATCCATCGTCCATCCTTCAGCGTCATCATTCCCCGTATTCCCTCATCTCAAGCCGTGGTTGAGTTCAGCTTACCCCTTCTGCCTGTTTTCCCACCTTCTCGTCCGGCATATGAGTCGCTGAGAGCCTTGAGGTCCTTTGATTGACACTTGATTCCTTATCTCTGATAATTACTTTACCTAAATTATTATTATCCTTCTCTGTCCCTATCCCCGGGGGCTTTCCTCTGGTTCCCCGTCTCACTTTCCGATCCCCCCTTGCTTGTCTGCTCTGCTCCTTCTGAGCTCTGACGGTCGCAAACGCCAATCGACATTCAAAAATTCAAGAACCATTCCTATTATCCCTTTGATCCGCAACATCCGCCCACCCATCTCCTCCATTCACTTTTGCCTTGTTCCCTCTTATCTATCTAGAGTGCGTTCGCCTGCACCGGTGCATGGCCTCAACGCGCAGCAGACTACTAAATTTACGCCTATTTTCCTCTTCTTCTATTCTATCCATTCTTGTTTAGTCTAATATTCTTGCGGTTCCTCCTCTCTTTCTTCCTTCCTTTTTCCCCTCCTATCACTATCGTGGCTTCTACTTTGGACGTGTCGCAAAGTTTCCGCCACTCAACCTGACTTATCAATATCCTGGCGTCCGACCATATTTCGCATGGCATGTTTCGGCTGCTTCCTTGGTCCTCTGCTCTCGGAGGAAATAAGGTGATGGCGGAGGAGCTCAAGATGCTTGCGATTTCGCCACACTGTGCTTCCCCGGGCCTCAACAGTATCGGATTGCCCCAGCTGAAGCGCAAACGGTCTGATTCCAGTGACGCGGCCGCTGTCGAAGATGCTCCTGTCGCGACAAAGTTACGATCCGATGATGTGTCGAGTAATTCGCTTTCCGACAAGAAGACCCTTTCTTCGACTGTAAACGGCGAACCTGCGGTGTCGCGAAATTCGGCATCCCTCGGAGATAGTCCTTCGAACAGTTCCGTATCAAAGTCATCCAAATCACCCCGTCGTCGCCAGAGTTCGAGCTCGTCCAGTTCCATCGTCGCCGATAAAACGACCGCGCCGCGCAAGGTTGACGTGGACACGCTAAGAGAGACATTAGAAGCGCAGCTGAGCTTGGAGGTGCTGTTAAAGCACAATGAACTGCGCTTGATCGACCAGGAGATCGCAAAATGCCAGATTGCGCTGGAACAACTGCGCAGGTGTGCCGAGATACCATATCMTGGATCTCACGTCGCTGGCGTGTCGCAGTCTGTGAGTAACGGCACAGGTATGGCAGTAGAGACTCCTAGAAATGGTGTGGCGCCGATATCCCCAGCTCCATGGGGTGTCACAGACGGTCCTTATACGCGACATTATGCGCGATGGCTCATGCCCGATCCGCGTTTTGACGGAGGCGAACTCGAGTCAGGGACTCCCCTGACTCCGGGCGCTCTCGGCACTGCGCTGGCTGAGGGTCGTTCGACTCGTGGCAATCCTGTCGATGGAGGCTATCTCGCCAGCAAATCTCGTCCCCAAAGAGGCTCAGCTGGAGCCAAATTGCAGTCCCTCCCCAGTGGATATCCCACCCCCAAAGAAAAGGCTGGCCCTATGATTATCCGGCGAAAGTCGGACGGTGTACTTGTCAAGCTTATCTGCTTGGATTGTCGGAGGGATAATTTCTCGAGCACTCAGGGCTTCATCAACCACTGTCGCATCGCTCATAACCGAAATTTTGCCAGTCACGATGCCGCCGCGATGGCCTCGGGTGAGCCTGTCGAGGTAGATGAGGCAGGTGCCGTCGTCCCTGGAAAAAACGAAACTCCCAGCACAACTGCGGCTGGCTTCGTTCACCCACTTATTCGATCTGCGCATGTAATCGAGCAATCGACAAAGACACCCTCATCGGTTCCGGAAGGTGCCGGTGACACTACCACGCCGCGAAGACTCTCTGTCGCAAACCGACGGGCATCGTGTGCGGTGGAGACACCGTCTATGCATTCCCAAGCGGGCAAGCGAACCACGTCCGTGGGAGGGAAGGCCTCCCATCGCAACTCGTTCACGGGGTCTCCTGATACCCCACACCTTTCCTCTCTTATGCAGCGCAGGGGTGTAGGGCTTGACCTGGATCAATTAGTGGGCGAAGCGAAAACGACTATGGATCTCGAAGCTTATTCTTCGGGGGCCGAGTCGGAAGATGACCCAGCAGAAACATCTGTAGACGCTGCGACACAAGCTCAGAAACCCCTTGCAAATCGCGCCGTTAGACAGTCAATGCGAACGACGGGATCTAAAACCGCATCCCAGCGGCCCGGAAGCCGCAAGGGATTTGATAATACAAATCACCACTCTCCATCTCTGAATGGATACTTTCAGTCTTCCTATGGACCGGCGTCTTCCGTGTCTAGGTCAACTGCCATAGAGGACTTGCGGGAAGAATTGAGTCCAACCACTTTGGAGTCAAATCAAGCCCCAAGTCTGGTGAGCGACGATGATGACTACGGAGCAGCCTCAGAATCTGACAGCCCGGAACCGAGCTCATCTGAGGCGGGTGACCAAGATGAAGAGTTTAGCCACATTGATGTAGAAGACGGCGAAGATGCTGCGGCCTCGCCGGCAACCACGGGGCCCAAGTCGGATCCGGACATGGCCAGCGGTGCGGGTCATCCTTCGAAATCCTTGTCGAGATCGCTCCGACGAAGTAGCACGAAGAAGAAGGACCGAGTCATGTCTGCTTCGATTGCCCCGGTGAAACGGAGCAAAGATGAGAAGCGGGTGAGCTTTGTCAGTCCTAACAGCAGATCCGCTAAAGGCAAAAGAAATGCATCGAAGAAATCCAGTGGAGGACGCAAGCATTAGACTTGTGCGGCTCTCTTTTTCCTCTCTCCTCTTCGTTTTCTTTTCCCCTTTCTAGAAATGAGAAGGAGCGGATACCCTCGCGTGTTTGTAATTGTGTAACTCTCTCTCCTCTTTCTTTTTTTCTCTGCCATGGACGTGTTCTCCTCTGTGATGAGTGCGGACGTATGTGTCAGTTTGAATGGTACGGTTCGCCTTGCGATCTCTTCGTTGTTGAAGTTGATCTTCATCTCTGAGAGCACTACTGCGGTCCTGGTGATGCCTGATGCTGGATGGTTTCAACGCCATCATGTCTTTAGCCACATGTGCCTATGGTCTTAATGTTTCTCGCAGCCTTTCTGGTGTGGTGATACGATTATAGTATGCTTTAGCAGATGGAACTTGAATCAATAGACGAAGATAGTTTGCTCTGGTCACCACTGCGTAGGTCAGTCCAGCCCATGCGAAGTTAAAAATCAGTCTGGTAATTTGTCGATTCTGAGATCAACACGGCAATATAGGCACACTTGAGGGATTGGATTGAGTTCGCGTTGTGATGTTCGGAGATTGCGCGGTTGCAACATATTTCTGTAAACCCCACAACACTTTGTTACCTGATAACGACAACAACATGGCGCACTCAGGACGTGAAAACCCCCCAAGTGATGCCGAAACAGAGCCAAAAGGCCAAACAGAGGAACTTCCCGAGTTCTCTCCTTCGCACATCACAATTGACACGTTCAATGACCTCCTTGCACGCTACCCTACCACCGTAGAGACGGTGATACGACGCAAGGAGACCGCAAGGGCCATCAAAGCCGCCACAGCCCGAGAGAAGAAGACGAGAGCAAAGGAAAAGAAACCCGTGGCGGATTCTGCCGCCACGCAGCCTACCTTGACACCCGATGAGAAAGAGTATATTGACAGTCAAGTCCGGGCATACCTAGCTCTGGACGGGTTGCGCTACGAGACTCTACCAGCGCGGGTGCGCGAGAGAGCTACCGCTGCCGCTACAGAAGGGAAAGAATCCAAGCCAAATGTCGGTGGATACCTAGAGAAAGACGAGTTGGAGCAGCTAATGGAGTGGAAGCTGTATGTCTTCTCAGTTCGCTCTTTACATCCTGCCACGCGATATTGATAAGTGATAGAAAACACGGTGTCTACCGTCCGACGCTCCTCGGCATGGTCCGCTCGAACCAGGCTGCTCTCGTCTGCCGGACGACGGCCTCTGCGTTCGCTGCCGTTCCGGCGTCAGATCCGGCCGCCGATCTGGCGTCCGCGGACGCGGAGGCAAAGGCAGAGTCGCAGGAATCGGAGTTGGACAGCGCGTTCCCCAAACAAAGCCTAGAGGCATTGACCGCTCCGCTCCGGGGCGTGGGCCCCGCAACGGCCTCGCTGATCCTGTCGGTTGCGACGGAGGGGGCGCCGTTCTATAGCGATGATGTCTTTCTTTGGCTTTGCTTGGGTGTGTTTCCGTTTGCTGCTGCCGCCGCCGCCCAGGATGGCGGAGAGACGAAGGGCGGAGCATCGAAGCGGATACGTCCGAACGGCGAACTCAACGTCAAGTATAACTTACAGGAGTACTGGCAGCTCTGGGAGGCTGTGCGGCGGCTGCGGGCTAGACTGGCTGCGCAGTCTTCCGATGTGGTTCCCTGTGTGGATGTTGAGAAAGTGGCGTTTGTGCTGAGGCATTATGATGTTTCGGGTCATCATGTTGGAGATCGTCCTGTTTCTGCTCAGGAAGCTGAGGAGACGAAACGGAAGCCTGATCAGGATGTCCAAGCGGCGGAGCGAAGCTCGAAAAGGAGACGATGAGCCTGTATCTTGTCTTCTGAGGCTGGTATACATCATCACTTTTGCTCAGCGCGAGTACTTATCAGCCTGATTAAAGCAGAGTGAATTGCGTATGTTCTCTCCCTGAAGGATATGGCATATTACAGATTAGTTGAATGACAATAAGTACAGTACATCCTCCTCAGCATCCCTCCCTATCAATCACCCATTCCGTTCCACTCTCTGCAGTTCCTCCACTCCCTTTTCCGGATCCCATCTCCTCAACCATGAGCTGGCGATGCAGCCCCCTACAAGACAATAAGCCCGGCGAAGACAGCAGCCAACAAACCCCCGCCCTCAACAGCCAATCCCGCAGCCGCACCCTTGGACGCACTCGGCGAGAATCCAGACGAAGTAGTGGTCGTGGCAGCCGCTGTCTCCGTCGTCTTGGTCGCAGACGTCGTCGTGGTAGTAGCGGTGGCCGTCGAAGAGCTCACACTGGAGTAAGCCGCGGCGGCATTGCAGTAGGACTGTTTGGTCTGTTCGGCGCCGAAGCTGTCAGGGTGTCCGGGGCAGTTGTTGTAGCATCTTTACGTTATGATTGCGTTAGCCCCGTATGCTACTGGGGAAAAAAGAGAAAGACACTCACGTCAGGACATTGATGCTCTGATCACAGAGGCATTTCCAGTCGTTCGCGCCGCAATTGTTGAGCTGGGGCTTCATGGAGGCAAGGCAGGCGTCGACGATGCTGTACTTTGTCAGTATGTTATGCTATCCTATCATAGATGGAACGTACTTTTGGGCTGCACATGGCTTAGTGGACGAGGACGAGCTAGCGGTAGGGACGGCGGTTGCTGCTGCGCTCGTCTGCTGCGCTAGAGCGAAGCCGGTGAAGGCGACGAGGAGAGTGAGGGGGACGGTGAAGCCACGCATCTTGAGCAGTGCAAGTATCGTGGATTAGAGGGAGGTGAGGCAGACAGTTGTGAAGTGTGAGTGGTAGAGCAAGGAGGATGAAAAGAGCAAACGGAGGAACTACAGACAGAGAGAAGGGAGCGAAAAGTTCTAGGTAAGGAACTTAATAAAGGACATGGTCAGGTCACACGGCTTCTGCAGAACGACTAAATCGGGCAACAGACCCTGCAAGGGCTGAAACTGTACATGAAGTAGTCTATGTATCCTGTCTAAGTATCTACACACTATCTACCATCTGCCAGAACTGTCGGCAGGAAGAGATCCATAGCCATGCTGTGTTTGCTCATCCTGCGATATGTCGGCCCAATTCCCCAATCTACCGATCAAATAAAGTATCTGTCGAGGTTGCACAGAGAACTAAGTACAGTACAAACCAAGAAGCTGATTCAGGGTCCTTATCCCCCAAGTTTCAATATCCGTCTACAGACCCTGATCAGGAGATAGCCAGTGCATCAGGACGTGAGATCGACCAATGACAGCCGCATAGCAGAGACACTAGTGACAGACTATGAGCCGGAGATATCAAAGCGTGTGTCACATTGAGATGGATTGGGGTTGCGCTCCACAGCTCTCAGGATGCCACAGTAAGCATTATCAGCTTTTGGCTGGCCCAGGGCCTTCGGTACGAGGCTAAGCGGAATCACTAGAGGCCTTGGCAAGGGAGCATTGCATCAGCATAGGCCTGGTTGACTTTTCAGACGGAGAATTGTATCTGCTTGTGTTGTGTTGTGTCAGGGGCGACTGGTCTATCGTTGTGTGAGAAATCCAGGTTGCAGGCCTAATAAATCAAAGAGGACTATTCGTCAACGTCCCCTTGTTCTCTGATCTGCCGTGGAAGCTTCAATGATCTCATTTCCTCGAGTGCCAATCGGCAGATTAATCAACACCCCAGGAAGTGACCAGTCACATCAACCAGTCCACAGATCCTGACGCAAAGCTGGTGCTACACATTTGAGCCTTCTCCTTTAATTACTACACCGTCAGATAAATGCAACAAGATCCTTTTAATGACGAGGAATGTTCTCTGGCTTCACGGTATCCATAAGTCAAATAATACACAAGTATATACACGGTGCGCCGGCAAAAGGAAAAAAAAAATGTTTCGTATGGGAAAAAAATCCGAAGCCGCGTGCAAATCCACGGTATAACGTTCTTCTCCAAGCAAGCACATTGTATGAGACAAAAACCTTCGTCAGACGGAGATGGGGAATATGAGGACGAAACGAGCGAAAGAAGAATAGCGATTGGAGGGAATCGAGATAGCACCGATGGCTTGACAAAGAGCGATAGGAATAGTAGTGAAAGAAACACCCTGCAGCATCTGCACATGCAAGAATGGGAAACTTCCCGCCCAATTTTTGGCCTCGCTTGGAATCAGGCCGCATACCCCAAGGCGAGCGACATAATGCTAAAACAAGGGATGCATGGATAATCCTGTTTCTTGACGAAATGCCTGGCCTGTTCGAAATCGAAAGCGACTACTCCTGTCCAAATCCCAATGTTTCTTCCACGGCAATGGACATCTTGTGTTCGAGTGTTTCGTACGACTTGTACGGAGGAAGGTCAAGACGATTAAAGCTGATGCCGTCAGCTCGGGAACAGAAGGAAATGACAAAACAACTGATAGTGGGAATTTCACATACCATGTGTGAGACTTGGGTAATGCCGCCGGATCACCAGACTTTTCAATGGTGAACCGTCTCGGCCCGTCAGAGCCTTGAAGGTCCTTGAACCCGTTGACTGGAATACGAGATGTACCAGTGGTGAATTGAAGAAGACGCGACTTCTGTTCAGCATCCCAGCTTCGGACAACCTTCCAGAAGTTCTGGATGACTTCGTCTGACTCCTGGTAGCCACGGTAATCTGTGTGCTTCTTCCAGTCATCTACGTCGATATCGGCAATACCTCCGATCAACAGCTCCAATTCACGTTCGTCAAAAACGTTGACCAGATCCGCTGGGATCAGCTCGTTAAAGCCGGACATGAAGGCGTTGAACTGCTCCTCAACGCGCTTGACAATCTTCCACTCAGTGACCAGCCTAAAGACCTCGATTAGCAACTCTATCCTGATCGTCATCCGCCTTTGGAGGGCAATGGAAGATAGCAACTTACTCGACATATTCTGCCTTGTTCTCATTTGTGACAGGGATATCCCGACCACCGGGCTTTAGATCGATCGTGCGACGCTCACCAAACTTTTCGTCATCAACGGAGAAGGTGAGCTCCAGAACACCCTCAATATCATTATCCCTGCAGATTGTTAGAAACTCTGAACCCACCCCGAATGCCGGCGGAATAACTTACAAAGTCCAGGTAAGATTACGGTGGAGATCTTCGTCAACGCCCTCCATGTCTTGGAGAGAAACCTTCTTACGAAGCATCATCTTGTAGAACGCACCAATGAAGAAAGAATCGAGGAAACGGCGGTGGAAAATGGCAAGTCCGACGACTCGTCCAATGAACTTGAAATAGTTGAGGTGCTCGGGGTTCACGCCCGAATGGGGATTAATCTGCAGGGTGTAATTATCGTGTGCGGAATATTCGAAAAGGCAATAAAACGGATTAAACATTTCGTGGGAGAGAAGGAAGAAGAATTCACTAGGTCAATCATCAGTAAATGCAGGTCGTATCAGTCACCTTAGAACGAGACAAGACACATACCGAGAAAGACCACCGTAGTCGAGACCGTCTTCACCATCAAACTTGATCATCAAGCGCTTCTTCAGGTCTGATGCACTCTGCCGCATGATTTCGGCGTACGAGTCCTCGAAGATATTGTTACGCCGCACCTTGACATGACACTGTCCAGACATGATCCGCAGAGCGGGCTGAGAACGGAAGTAGATCAGCTTGCGCCGGAAGTCACGCTTGTACTGTGGCACACCCTGGTCCAGCGACGACGGCAGGCGGGGGTCGTCCCACGTAGTCGTCTTGGTGTTGTGATCGACAAAGTACACTCGCGCTGTGTTGGTCAAGCGCATCTCCCAACCACTGGGCAGGGGTCCCAGCTGTGATACCGGCTGCTGTTGGATCGTGGTATTCGTGCCATTGGCATTCTGTCCATACATCCGAATGTATTGCTGCCGTCGTGGATCCACCCATGTCGTGGTACGGGTGTTGTGATCTACAAAGTACGGTCGCCCCTCGGGGGTCGTGCGCTGCTCCCATCCAGGAGGAAGCTCGCCAGTGCCTGCAGTGGTGGCTCCTGTTGCCATCATAGAAACAGCATTGGCACTGCCCCCGGCCGGCGGGGTGTGGGCCTGCTGTGAACTCTCCGGCAGATTAGGTGAGTTGGCGCCAGTACGATCCTCCGGTAGCATTCGACTCTGGTGAGCTCTCCGTTCAAGTTGCATATTAGCTTCGCGTTGGGACCGTTGCGCATGCTCATTGTAATTCGACGATGGTCTCGTCCAAGTGGTGGTTCTTGTGTTGTGGTCCACATAATAGGTCCGTCCCAAGTTGTCTTCTCGCCTCTCCCAGCCGGCTGGCAGTCGACCCTGACTGTCTTCAAACGAGCTGAGGTTGGTGCGAGAGCCATGGCTATTGTTGGCGGCTGCTCCAGCTGCGCTGGCAGGAGCGGCAGTGCTTGATGGCCGGGTAGTGGAAGGAACACGCTGGGGATTAAGAGATGGATTCGACGCGGACGGATCAACTGCAGCTGTACCACTGGAGGCGGCCGGATGCGCAGACGGCGGGGCCACTTGCGGGACGAGGCCGCTGGACGTTGATGACTGCACATGTGATCGATGCAGGCCATTAGCTTGATTGGTATTCGGTGTGCTCAAGTTCGTAGACAGATTGATGATCAATTTGCCGTGTACGACCAGATTGTCATTGGACTTCTTGAGATCCCGAGTGAGCATTTCTGTTTCGAGGAGTAAGAGACGCAAGGTTAGCCGATTGATGTCGCAGGTGTGCAAAACTGGAAGTATCTCACCATCACCACCCATCTGTAAATCAATCACATCGCCAATTCGCACATTGATCACACCGAGGAAACCTTGGTCCTTCTTCTTGAATTTCTTCTGGTCGAAAATCTGGATTGCGAGGATACTATCTTCGTTGACCCGCCTAGATAATGATAATCAGCGCCGGTTACACTCTAAACCGCAGATGCAAGGCGACGTACAGATCAAACATCTCATTCCAGTAGGGATTCAGTGTCTTCTTGATCACCGACGTCGTATGCGTTTGCTCACCACCGACTGTGGCTACAGCGAACGGATCAGGGAATCCTGCGAAAGCACCACGAGTTAATATTCGGACGACAAGCAATATTTGCAAGGATGTAAGACATACGGAACACATCGCGCTTGTATAACCCATCCGCCGCGATAACTGTCGAGAGTCAAGGTCAGTTTCCATCGCAAAACAGCTTGGATGCAACTCCGACAGAGTCGGGATGATGCAGGGCAAGAACAGTGTTGCGGCTTACTTGTGAGCCGAAGGTTTGGCTGGCTATAAATGCATCCACTCGTTAGTATCTCATCCTCGTAAGTAATCAACGCAGACAGATTCCGCTTCTCGGATGCCAGCCCAAGTAGGGAGGGGCAAACTTACGCAGGCAGATTGGAACCCATGCTGTGCTGGCAGTTCAACACCTCAGGGAAGCAAAAGGCCGATCAGGGCGAGCCGAAAACGAGATACGCGGCGTGCATCCACCGCTTGGCACAGACACGACGACCTTATGACAGCACTTGATTTCTCCCAGACCGAGCTCAGACGTCGATGGATGCGGGATTGGCGGTCGCGTGTGGTGGAAAAGTGGGCGGAGGTTCGTGGGACGGAGGAGGAGGGAGGGGGAGGGACGAGTGGGATGAAAGTGGGAAGGGAGAAGGGGGAATGAGAGTCGCAACGTCCCTCTTCTTTTGGGGCTCTATTGAAGCGATGATAGAGAGACGAGTTCGAAAGTTCGATGATAGCGAGAGTAAGAAGAAACTAAGGCTGGAATGGAGGCGCGGGCAACTTCTGGGTCCCGCTGCGATGGACTTTCCACTCTTCCTTAGGTGTACCTGTCTCGTCGTGTATTAAGTAATTGGGGCTGAGCAAGCACTAAACAGTCCTGGCGTTTTGACGTCTGGGAACCAATAATAAACGTAGCGAGGGGTCAACGGGAGGTGCAACTTTCGACTTTCCAAGGGAACATGGGATCAATAATGAAAGTGATGGAATGGAGCCAGTGGATTTGGGCGGGTGTGAGCGGAGCTGGCTTGGTCGGCCGGCTTAGTCGATATTCGATTTCGAAATTTGATGCTTCATGAACTAGTTGGTCTAGATACTTGATAACCATCTAGTCTTGGTCTAGGTAGCAACATTATCCTTGCATAGATTCGAACTGTAGACAAGAAGGTACCTACTCTTGGAATAGACTGTGGCAAAGAAAGAGGAGCGCCCAAGAGCATTTTAGTCTGGAAAATTCTTCCTGCCATGACTCGATTCTATTTCACTTACTTTGTCTATGGGATCATTGCTTCATCTTCAACCAAGCTGATTCTATTTAAAGTCATTCGAAGATCCGCTCCCCGAAAGACAGGGAAGATCGCTTGGGCGGCTATATACTTACTCAGGTCGAACCTCAGATGTACTTAGGTACATGAGTACATCCTCTGACCACTGACAGCCATAATACTACCTACTTATCTAGTCCAATCCTCATGTGCTTTCCAGAAGACAGAGTTGAAAACAGTGGAGGATTCACCACACTTTGATTCCATTCACTGCTTAAGTATGTAGGTAAATGTGATCCAAACTCTACCATGAGATTTTCCAGTTATGCATCGCATCTCTACCTTACGTACGACATCGACATGACATGACACCGATTGTTCTCAGCAGTGGGGCAGTCCACCGACTCGAGACTTCTCCAGTCGACTCTATGATCTCTATCTAGATAGACTACCTATCCGCTTCGCCCCATCGTTCCGACAGATAGCGCCATCTGACAAATGACAGCAGTCACTGTTTATGTGCTGCGTCCAGCTCAAATCTAGACACCTGCCAACAATGGCCTCACCCGTAGTACATATCCGCATAAATAATTGTTTATCAGAATCAGAGCAATGTTGGTGGCAGAGCCAACAAACCAGAAATGGAAATATGCTGGTTTACTGGATCCAAACTTTGAAATAGACCCGAATGGCTGATCATGACAATAATCCGACATGATGATATCACAAAATAACGAGAAAGAAATTGAAGCCATCTTGGTGATCCACCCATCAGGTCCCTCCATCGATGGTGGTATGTTGATGGTTATCGTACAGTGCATCCCAGTCCCTAACTCCAAGAGATTCCTACCCTGAAACCAGAGAGCGAGTTCCGTCCCCATGTAAATCGAGTGTACCACAGCGGCCTCCCCTGAAGCATTCATTCCGCCGTTCCGCCGTTCAGTAGTCTTGAACACCGGGGACCGCGTGCCCAACAACAAATATCGTTTGACTTGATACGGTAATGGAGCAGTCTGCTCGCATCTAGTAAGGCGCATAGCCTCGACCACGACCGCGACCGCCACCACGATAGCCTCCGCGAGGCGGGAACCCTCCGCGGTAGAAGCCACGGCCGCCTCGGAAGCCACCGCGTCCACGGCCTCGGCTGCCCATACCAGGCAGATTGGTCCGTTTGGGGACAACCTAATCATGATTGTTAGCTAACGTGCAAAAGAACGTACAAAAGATGGCATGTACAGAGGTAGACACTGACCTTCAAGTTGCGGCCACGGAATACACTCTCGTTCAAAACAAGGGCCTGGGCGACCAAACTAGGCTCCGCAAATTCTACGTAGGCGTATCTGGAGGAAGGACCAGCAGTCAGCAGCCATGATACATATTTTAGGAGTCGGTATCCAAGAGAGAAGACAGCGAAGCAGACAGCCACCATCTCTCCATGGAAACATCATCATAACGCACCCCTTGGGTTGGCCCGTGAATTTATCCAGAAGGATGGTAACGCGATTGATGGAGCCGCAGCTCTGGAAATGCGCCTGGATTTCCTCGGGGGAAGCGCCGTAGTCCACATTTCCAACAAAAATACTCCGAGCATCGATCTCCTCTTTGTCCTCGCGTAGACTTTCGGACTGTTGATCAAGAGTGGCTTGCATTTCCCGCAACTTTGCTGCTTCGGATTCCATCTCGGCTACCCGTCTCTTCATTGCCGCAATCTCTTCCTACATTTCGGAGCGGGTGGATTAGCTTCTCTGGATAGCTTGAAAGAGACAAGGGGCACCACATATGCGCGACGATGTCACGAAAAATATGAACCATCTGAAGGGTAGTGTAGAAGTGGGATGTCGGTGTCAAGCTCCATCTCCAGTTCCAGCCGCTCGACTTACCTCATCGTCCCCTCCTTCCTCATGAGTCTCCAGACGCTCATCCTTAATCTCCTGCTCTTCCGTAGCCATTTTGATCGATTTGTAGTGGTGACCGATTCCCTCCGCTTCGGACAACGAAAAGGAAAAGTCGACGGCAATGACGATGTTCCGCTTGTCTGGCCTAGTGCCCGCGAGACGAAATTTGGAAGAACAGAGTATCCGACCAGAAATGAAGAACGAAAGAATTTAGAAGCACAGGAGAGTCCTGGTCCTGTTAAAGAAAGAGTCTTCGCACAACAACACAATGCTATAATGGTTGTCAATTAAGCTGAGCAATAGACAACGAATGTGATGCCCTCGTTGATCGGCACCTGGGTTAATGCGACGCTGCTCTTTCCGGCTTAGCGGCATTCGCCATCTGAACATCCTTCAACTTCAAGAAACCAACCTCGCTGATAGAAGCTCTGGGCATGTATAGTTCGGAGAGGCCGATTGAAAATACCTTCAGAGCCTGGAATATATGCAGCCACGACAATCATTGGCCCCTCCTCAGCTAAGTCGCGATCACGGTTATATAATTCATCTCGTTTACTTTCTATCGTATATCTTCCATCTTTTGGCCTTTGTTTAATTTCAAGAGATCTACCGATCAGAAGAGCACCGTATAGATGTCACATTTTACCGGAGAGTCCGTCGCCACCGAGGTACCAAGTACGTCAATCAGCAATATCGCTTGTAGTTAGCCAGGATCGCAAGGTGGAACAGCTTTCTAGACTGTAATAGTCCACGGTGACAAACCATACTAGCAAATGTAGAGTCATAAAGAGCACATCTCAGTGATCATTGATTGAGGTATTTTCGCGCTAGAGAGTTGACAGTGAAGTGGAACAAGGGCGTCTTAATCGGGGAGGTCTATGGGATATGTACAAGCGCATTAAGAAGAGAAACGTCGACTCATGAGGATGGGATATTGTTCTTGCGGAATGAAACCTTCTCGACCGCAACAGTCTCGACTCCGTTCGCATCCGTCTTCAGCTGGTAAACATACAACACCAATACGTCTCCTTGGATCTGCTCCTCATCAGTAATCGTCGGGTAGGGTCACGAGCCGCGCATATATATGTAAGGTTGGGATACTCACATCCATCAAACAGAAACTGGGTACGGGTTCTTCGCCTTCTGGCCAATAACCAGTGCTCATAGCACCGGTGGCACTTCCAGGATTCACAAAGAACCTGCCTTCCATCTCAAAGGCTTCGAAACGATGTGTGCCTCCCCACAGCAAGATATCTACGTCCATTTGGCGGGCTGCAATCAGGAGGGCATCGGCATCGCCCGGCGGAATGATGGTATGGCCATGAGTAAAGCCAATGCGGAGGCTACCGTGAGTCACCACCTTGGAGAGGGGCAGGTTGGGAGAATCGACATCGAAATCGCCTTTGACCAATTGTAAGTCGGGGGCAACCTGGCGCAGAAACTCAAAGGTTTCCCTATCGGTAAGGTTGCCTAGACATAGGATCTGACCGATCTTCCCCGGTGTTAAGAGCTTCCGGAACTGCGATCGTGTCAACCAAGACAATGATTAGGTAGAGTGACAGCGACAGTGGGTACCTTGGCTGGGAGATCCTAACCAGTAGCGACTGCAAGTAAGCGCAATGTCTAATTAATCATTGGGGGGAGGGATGGAGCCACTTACCGGAGCTCTATCAGGAATAAACAGGTCACCAATGACCAGGACCAGGCGGGATGTCATCCTGGATTGAGGGGCTTGCGGGGTTTCGAAGGGTTTCAACGGCCCATTCCAAAGCAAGAAAGAAATGTTGAGAACTCGCGGTCGAAAAGACGAGAGAGTGGCTGAAGTTGGTTGGCTGATATCGATGGTGGTTGTGATAATATGGGCCTGGAGATCTAGATGGGATGGGCTAAGTTAAGGTAAGCCTGTAAGCCTAAGGCAGGTACTTTCGCGGGGAAAGCTTAGATATGCCTTGACGCCTGGCGCCGATGCCGCGCGTGGTTTCTTCCGCGGTGCTTGGGTACTTTTATAGATACTACAGGTAATGAACGAAATACATGCGCAGATACTCAACTCTCGAGTGGTTCTGCGTTGAATGTTGAACAGTAACGTCTACATAAGTTGATAAAGAGGCCTACAAATGAATACAACTTCCAGTTGAAGTGTCAATGCAAGCTCATAATCTACCTCTTGAACTGTTGAATATCATAAATCATACTATGCCTCAAGTGTCTCAACAGATTTGAACGCTCCAATCATCGAGACTGCACTCCCGTGGTTATGAATATACGTCAAAATAGCTTCATCTAGATTATCTACTTCGTACCAGAACGGGTCACGGAGGTAATCGCAGGACGGAAGGCTCCGCCCGATTGATGAGTCGAAACGCCCTAATAATTTTACGGCCGATACGCGGTAAAGAAGGAGAAAGGTTTCTTTGGGACACAGTAATCCTCAGGGTGAAAAATAAAGCACACAGTCTCTGAATTGGGACCTATATATCCCTATATAATACTTGCGATTCAATCCCTTCAATTGTGGTCATATTCGACACTACCTACTCCACCCTGGTATACTTATCTGCCAGATAATAATAGTACTACCTGGCGAGACAATTCCCCTACCCGGCGATCCCCGAACCCGAAAAAAGTCCCAAGTTTCATGAGCTTGAGCTTGTGAAAGCCCCTCCATAACCGATATCCTTTACCCCGCGGGCTCTCCCGTCGAGAGCCGAACGACATCGGAACGCTGGCGACCAAGCAGACGACGCAGCGCCTGAGCCTGATCTCCAGACATCTGGATCAGCGTCTCCCGCTGCCTGAGCTTAACACTCCCTTCTCGACCGAGAGACACTCACTCCAGCCAGACGATCTTGAATATAAGCCTCTTGATCGCACCTCTCTACCTTCTACCCCCCTGAGACAGTCCACATCCTCGGCTGCCAGAATGTCGTCCCAAGCCCCTCACTCCACCCTGTTGATTCCAGGACCCATCGAGTTCGATGATGCTGTCCTTCAGTCCATGTCCCACTATGCGTGAGTTCCCCCCTGAGTTTGCCTCAACCGAAGAGAAACATGATTCCTATCATGGCTGTCGACCCCTACTAAAACCTTCCTCTTGATACTTCCAGTGAAAGCCATGTCAGCCCCGCCTTCGTCAAGGTCTTTGGAGAGACCTTGAACCTGGTTCGGAAACTCTTCCAGTCCACCAACCCCTCCGCACAGCCCTTCGTCATCTCCGGCAGTGGCACGCTCGGCTGGGATGTTGTGGCTTCGAACTTGATCGAGAAGGGCGAAAATGCGCTCGTCCTGCACACCGGATACTTTGCCGATTCCTTTGCTGCCTGCTTGGAGACATACGGCGCTCACGCGACACAGCTCAAGGCACCTATTGGCGACCGTCCGTCCTTCGAGCAGATCGAGCAAGCATTGAAGGAAAAGCCATACAAGATAATCACTATCACCCACGTTGATACCTCAACCGGCGTGCTGAGCGACATCAAGCGCGTCACGGAGATTGTTCGCCGGGTCAGCCCCGACACCCTGGTGGTTGTCGACGGAGTTTGCAGTGTCGGATGCGAGGAGATTGCCTTTGATGATTGGGACCTGGATGTGGTCCTGACTGCCAGTCAGAAGGCGATCGGCTGCCCTCCCGGTCTGAGTATCCTGATGCTCTCCGGCCGGGCCATCGACCGCTTCAAGTCCCGCAAGACCCCTCCCTCATCGTACTTTGCCTCGATCGCCAACTGGATGCCCATCATGCAAAACTACGAGAACAACAAGCCCTCCTACTTCGCCACTCCCCCCACTCAGCTCGTTCACGCTTTGCACACTTCCCTGTCTCAGATCACCGCACGCCCAATGGCCGAACGCTTTGCTATTCACGCCCAGACCTCAGACCGTGTCAAGGCTGCCATTGCCGAGCTCGGTCTGCGCCAATTGGCCTCCCAGCCCGAGAGCCAGGCTCACGCCATGACGGCCATCTATCTGCCCGACGGTTTGACTCCTGCAGATGTGCTTCCCGGTCTGTTGAAGCGCGGTGTCATCTTCGCAGCCGGCCTGCACAAGGAGATTGCCACCAGATACATCCGATTCGGGCACATGGGTGTGAGTGTGACAGACCCCGCACGCAACGATATTGACAAGGCCATCGCGGCGCTCAAGGAAGCCCTCGCAGAGGCTAAACAGGCCAAGGGCTTGTAAACTGTGTGGAAGGGATACATCTGCTCGAATCTCACGGTTTCCTCCTTTGTCTCTGTAGCATGAATAAATGACCATTCAAAATCTGTCTACACATAGATTACACAACAATACACTGAAACAAATTGAAAGATATTATAGACACTTCTGGTACATTTAGACTTCAATCAAGTTCACCTTGCATTACTAATGTTTGACCGGACCACGTTATCCAAGGCGAACCCTTGAAAATGATCGAGATTACCAATGCAGTAAATAGCTCCTTTTTCTTTATGGTAGGGTAAGTATCATTCGTAAGACACTCTCAGGTACGTGCGTTTAAGTGGTCAGGTCCAATCTTCTTGCGCAGAGCCAGCAACTGAATACTTCTGATGCCTGTACTAGATACCAAAAATACCACTATTGATATTCCTCGTCATCGAGACTTGACTTAGAACGCTGAACGACATGGATAGAAGGGAAGGAATCGAACTGCAGACAGGACAAGTATAGAAAGTGAACGCAGGACAAATCAATTATTACAAGGAAGTAAACTTGATCATAAGAAAGCACAACACAGGCAGGGGGGTATGAATAATGCTGGGCATTCATCATGGGCGTCGATAGAACTCGGCTCGCTTTACAGGAAGAATGAGAAACATGAGTAAGAATGCAGTATATCGGTGCCAGAACCTTTAAAAATTCTGTATAATTTTCATTTTTGCTCCCTTTGTTCCCGCGTCCCTTTCTTCATTGCTGTTCCAGCTTATATTTCTCCTTCCCCTCTTCGCAGTGCCAGAAATGCCCGCACGTCGGTCACATACTGCAAAGCTTCAAGCATGGGGATGAGATTGAGCAAACCATTGTCTGTAGGATCATTGATCCAGCCCTCAATTGGTATAGCATTGTCTAGACACGGTCAAGTCAGAATATGAATAAACAAAAGACGGACGCTCGCTCTGGATTGAACCTACGCACCTTCGTGAAAAAGGTAACTCATAGGGCTATTGTCCAGAATCATCACTTTGCTCAGGTCAGGCTCCACAGAGCTGAGGTCCTTGATATATGCCCCATTGCGGAACGTGCAATGCTGGCGGTAATATCGTGCCTGGAAGTACTTGCGTTCCTGCTCGAGCCAGTCGATGACAGGGTCCGCATATTCCTGGACGCTGGCGGTGAAGATAACCAGCTTATACCATTTGCATACTTTTCGTAAAAAGTCGTCGCAATTGGGCCGTTTATGAACGTAGTAGAGGATGGGATGTTGCGGCCCTAATGTAGTCGGTGGTCCACCTGGGGTTAGAGCAGTAGTCATGGGAGTAGCAAGCTTGACTTCAACCATGTGGCCGCTGGACATGCGACCGCCTTTGGCCAGGGAATGAATAAGAGTCTCATCTAGGTCCAGTACCAGGGTCTTTTGAGGGCCGCGTGAGTTTCGTGGAGCGGCAGTGTACGAAGGCAGACGAGCTGGAATCAGCGGCCGAGGAGGTACAGGAGAATGAGGATATTTGGTGACTTTATGGACGGAAGGCGATGTGGGTGATTTGAGAGTGTCTGGACTCACAGCACCTTGTCCTCCGGCCGCAACAGTTTCCGACGTAGCACCTAGATCTGCGCTTTGCGTCCGGCGATGCCTCTCCCGCTTCAGCGCACCTTCATTATGTAACTTGATGCGGATGGAGCGGCGAGGGGTACCCTCTTCTCCAGTCGGATCCAAGGCTGTGGTTTTCGACTTTGAGGCTCGAGCCCGAGTACCCGTGAGGCCCGGGGTGCTGCGACGATCTCCTTCCGACTCGGACGTGCTCGATGCGATCGAATCTCGCGATGCGTGACGTCTCAACTTCCTCGTGGATCCACTACGTCGTCTTGCACCGGTCGGTTTGGCATCCTTCTTCACTGGGGTTGACCTACGGGAAGCGGAAACATCGGCCATTGACCGCCGGAGCTTTCGTACCGGGGCCGTTGGGGAGTAATGTCCATCATCGTCTCGGAAGCACTGGGCTATAAACACACCCGGGGCAGCCAGAGTTGACAAGATAAACTTGATCGTTTCCGCAATGGCGTCAAAGAAACGCTCTGCAATCAGTCCCAGGGTACTCCTCGTAGCAAGCGGCCCATCCCTCTGAATGCTTTGTATCAAAGGCGTTTTCTCAGTCAAGGTATGTTCGGAGTAGTCTATGTCCGCAGAAGAAATTCGGGGACTGTTGTTATGGCTTTTCTCCAATACATCAGGCGAATGAAGATTGTCGTGACTATAAGACCGAAGCTTAGATCGATCCTCCGGTGGGACCACGGGGCTGATCTCTCCTTGCGAGCGCGACCTCTGTCGGAGACGATTCGAATTGGATGACTGGCCAATGACTCGGGAAGATAGGATATTCAATGAGTTCATCTTCCAACACGGCCCACGGGAGTCGGGGCTGGCGCAGTTATCTACAGGACACCGACGGCGAACTCAGCGACCATTCGATTCCCCTTCACCTCATGGTTTCGCGACATGGCACCAAGAGGATGACATACGACTTGTACTCACCTCAATGCGCCAGGCGACGACCCGTGCTTCKGAACCACTTGTGCTTTTCCAGTCTCAACAATGGAGGGTTGGGAATCGTAAGAGAAGCCGAAGCAGTTGATAAAGGGAACTACCTATGGGCGAGCAACTAGCAGAATATGGGTGCAAGAAACCAGAAATATAGCGAAGAAAGGGTATCGGAAAGGAATAAGGAAGAAATGAATAGAGGATTAGGATAAGACACGGCGATATAACAGCAGATGGCGGCGAGGATGTGGAGTAGGTAGATAGTCGTAGTAGTAGCAGTACTTTAGTTCGGAGTCCATAGTCGGAGTGACACTGGTTGGGCCGAGCGGCAGATCTGACCGGAAAACTCCCTCACAATAGGTAGATGGGTTACTGTCGCATCCCACATTGTTCCCCTCGTCGTCATTTTGAGCCAAGTCTTTTGTTGAGCTTCTAGCTTTAAGAGCTTATTACAAGACTTGTCACTGGTAAGCGCCTTTTTCTTTCTCATGTCACTTCCCTCTTTGCATGCGATTCCCCGATTGCCCCTCTTAGAATATCTGTGTGCGACCCTAGTGACTCAATCCGCTAACTACTGCCCAAGGGACTATCAAGACACTGGGACACTGTTGGATTACCCATGCTTTGAGCAGACTTGACTGTAACTCGACCGGATACTTCATACACAACCATGCCATCTACCTCCGCGGCTTTGACGCCTGGTCTGGCGTCTTTTCTCAAGTCCCTCAAGACCACTCCAATCGACACATCCATTGACAACCTGATATCGTGCGTTTCTGGCGTCTCATAACCTTCTTGTGCGAGGGGCTACCGTACTAACAGTTATATCAGGCTTCTCAAGCGGAGACAGATCCGTCATTCCAGGTCATGCGCTACCGCGACCGCTTACCTTCTCCTCCGCGTCATCTCAGCTTGCAGGACGACAGATGCAGCTAAGCTGATTGAACGGGTGCAGAGTGTGGGGAGGCGATTGGTGGCCGCTCAGCCAAGAGAGATGGTGGTTGGAAACATCGTCCGTCGTGTACTTGGTCTCATCCGCGACGAAGCTGAGGACGAGAGAGATGGTGATTTCACTCTCAGTGATGCTGGATCTGAAGGTCAGCCTCAAACGCCTCGTGTTCCAGAAGGTCGGTAAAGCACCGTTCGCCCTTGACTCGTTCTCATCGCTTTGATCTCTAACGCTGATTAATAGACCCGTCCGATCAATTGTCATTCCGCCATGAGGGCTCTGAGCGGTCGTCCTCAAGGCCTCCTTTCACTTCGCTGGCCACCACCCCAATCTCAATGTTCAATTTGCTCTCACATCCGGAGCCTGAAACATCGCTCCCCGGTACTCCCGCATCAGCGTCTCCATCCGGTAGATTACTGGGACATGCTCCGAGTAGGGATATTCGCGCCGAAGTCCTGGACGGAATTGGAGAGATCATCGATGAACTGGGCCAGGTGGACGACCAAATTGCGGCCTATGCTCTCGACCACATCCACTCCAATGAAATAATCCTCACCCATACTTCCTCCACAACCGTTCAGAAGTTCCTTCTCAAGGCCGCTGCAAAGCGCAAGTTCACCGTGATCCATGCTGAATCCTACCCCAACAACCACGAAGCGACGCACACCACCGTTAGCGGCGCCACCTCCAGTGATGAAGAAATACTCAGCACCGATTCATTTCAAAAGCCGTTGATCGCCCTGGGGATTACGGTCATTCTAATCCCAGATTCGGCCGTCTTTGCACTCATGTCCAGAGTCAACAAGGTTATTCTGGGCACGCACTCTGTCCTAGCCAACGGCGGGCTGGTGGCCGCAGCCGGAACCCGGGTCATTGCTCGTGCTGCAAAGGTGCACCAGACCCCCGTTGTTGTGGTCAGCGGTGTATACAAACTCAGTCCCGTGTATCCATTTGACTTCGAGTCTTTGATCGAATATGGAGATGCCAGCAAGGTCATCCCATATGAGGATGGGGATCTGATGGATCAAGTCGATGTGCAGAACCCTCTGTACGATTATGTTCCTCCGGAACTGGTTGATCTTTACATTACCAATCTGTAAGTTACTTCCCTGGATTTGCTACAAGAAGCAAGCACAACTGACTTTGACTTTTCCTGCAATAGCGGCGGCCATGCGCCATCATATCTGTACCGGATCGTGTCAGACCACTACCGCAAGGAAGACATCAACTTCTAGGTCCTTGTGAAGCTTGATAATGGTTCATTGAGAGGAGGGAGAATACGAAGCTTATGATTTGTGGGGTCAAAGAGTAAATCAAGCTCAATCATCACATGAAAAGTCCTTGGAAATCAGAGGCGTTGGGAATAGAAACGGTCGATACCCCAGGAAAAGAATCTATAAAGCTTACCTGTAAACCTCAGTCTATAATAGCGTATCGAGGCCCATTTCATTGGACGGAAGAAGTTACATAGATTAGATTCAGGTTGAAGTTCGACCATTTGGTACCACATTTGTTTAAAACTACGAGGATGAGAGGCGGATCATAATATCGTGGGGAACAGGGGAAAGCAGATATTGTTTGAACATTTGACATTCCGGGCCCTTCCCAAAGAAATAAAAAATCATGGCGCCATGTTTTATGAGTATCTCAATCATAGTGACTGCATTGTATTTGCAGGGTCATCCGTCCCGAACCATAATTTTCCAGACCATAGACCATATGTTCCCAGGCTTCGATGGAATGGGGCCCTTTCCCGGCAACCAATCTCCCACGGCATCGTCCATTTCCTTTCGTACAAATTGTTTACGAACGGGGCTTCTCCTTCTTCTCCTTCCACAGAGCGAGCAGACCGACACCAGAGACCTTGACGACCTTGAAACGAACACCGGGAATATCACCCTTGGCCTTGCCCTTACGACCGAAACCAGCAAGGAGAACCTCGTCGTTCTCGTCGATGAAGTTCAAGCAACCGTCGTTGGGGACTGTAGAGATCGTGAAGTCAGCATTTGAGCATTTGTCAGAATAATTTCTCTGCTTCTCTTCCACATCTCCCCATCCAAAGCCGATTCTGGATTTTCCCAATCTGTCGTGGCATCCATCAAATATTCCGTCTCTTCTCCATCCCGAGCAGTCTATCGAATGTGCATAATGAATAGAAAAGGGTTACCCACCGAAAGCGGTGACCTTCTTGCCGTTCTTGATCAGCTGGACCTTGACACACTTCCGAATGGCAGAGTTGGGCTGCTTGGCCTCAACTCCGACCTTTTCGAGGACGATACCCTTGGCGTGGGAAGCACCACCGAAGGGAGAGGACTTGAAAGCGGTACCGAGAAGGCGCTTCTTGTAGTGCAAGTCGGCCCAGCGCTGCTCACGGCGGTGGTTGGCGAGCTTGCGCGCGGCGTTCAAACCACGGGGCTTTCCCTTACCCATCTTGGCGTATTATGTTCGAAGGACGGTCAACTGTAGAGAATGAGAGATTCTGCGTTAGAAAAGCTTCTTTGTGCGGACGGTTCGTGGGCTTGATATTGCGAGGGGAGTCGGTATCGGGTTTTTATCAGAAATGGATGTGCGAGTCGAAGACCAATTTTGATCGCCAAACAAGTTTTCCTGCAAAGATCTAGAAGACAAAAAAGGGACCAAAATTATACGTACCGACTGGAAACAAAAGTTATCGCCAAAAGGCCTGATGGGATGGTTGTCGAAAGTCGAAGGTCGAATGTTCCTTCACTGCCGGCGGTCTCGTCGGGGCGAAAATGTTCTGCTGTGCGCCTTCGCCCTAAACGGCCCGCTAAGCGAGGTTCCGGAGCGGAGAAACATCGGCCGTCGGTTATCGATAAGCGATAGGCGTCCGGAGTTGCTATCGTCATTACAGACTGATAAGAGACTACCTTACCTCTCTAGAGAGATACAAGAATACTAATTAACCATAATATTATTGGAGGAGATGCACCTCTTCGTCCAAGTGATTTCAGAACAGCAGCACTATGGACGCCGCTCCGAAGTTGGAAAACTTACGGAAGATAAGCTCCCAGCGTCTTCCACCCCCTGTTCTCTTTCAGGGTCCCCCTTCGCATAATGCATCTAATCTCTCTTTGGCCCCGCCCCTACCAGCTGTATCTTCGCCGGGGGCAAGCCAGACGGTCCCTTTGCAACGCAACCGCCCGTCTCGAGCCCAGGGCTCTTTCGATTCGGCTTCCTTGTCGCCATTTGTTTCTCGCACTCAGTCTAAAGGTGAAGTTGATCGATCCGAAGCCATATGGCAGGAAATGCAAAATGCACTATCGGAGGTAGAGCTCAGTGCAGTGACCAGCGAGCATGTATTCGGGGAGAGACATTCAGAGGCCCTAGAAGATCTCCGTATGAAGCAACTGAAACTCGCGCAAGCCTGGGCCCGCAGTGAGGCCGACGAAGTAGTCGATGCTGCCAAGGATCTAGAGGCCAAAGGAAAATCTTCTTCTTCGCCGCGAGGGTCCCAAAACGTGGGACCCGCCGGCGAAAGAGTCCCAGTTGAAGCTTCCGTTCATAGGAATATGGACGAGGAAACGGAACGAGACATCTTGTTAGCCCGAGAAAGGCGAGAGGCCAACGATCGGTACTTCGATCGGGTCAACAACGGTGTCTTGGAAGTGGTTGCCAAACTTGAAGAAGTTGCACAGGCTATGCGCGCAGTTGAGAGGGAGAGCAAAGACATCTGGAGCGATAATGAGAGCATCGATACAACACATTCGGCGGCAAACACCGGTTGAAAGTCTCGCTCACCGGTGCGACAGAGCTAATTCGAGAGTCAAAGCAACCCTCCGTGTATAGCGTTTCCACTGTCTCCAGTGGTTATCTGCCTTACAGGATCGGCGGCCCGTGCAGTGGCCGAAGAATGATTGCCTTTTTGAGAGTACAGGTGGATTCATCGTCGATCGCCAAGTCTATCCTGAAAGAACGCAAATTGACCCTAGTTAGGTTGACTCGCGCATTGGCAATGAGGTCCGAGTAGGGAAAGCGTAGCAGTTTCTTCGCTCGGCTCAAGACAGGAGTATCTTATAAGGCGTTGCGCAATGGTTCATACCTACCAGATATACAGATCAGGGAGCAAAATGCACCAGCTATAATGCACCAGCTAGCGCGCGAGAATTGATAAGCCAAGTATAGCAGGATAGCCAAAAAACAGAATTATAGAATGCAATCACGCTTCCTAGACGAAATCCAAGGGTATCTGGTCCTGGCTGCTTGCCTGTAGAAAGCAGCACCGATAAACATGTACAGAATAGGCAAACTTTTTATTCCTTCTTCATAAGCCTCAGCGCAGCCTTCCATCCTGCGATTGCAGTATCTCTTGCGTCTTCCCACCGACTCTCATACGCCTTTCTAGCCAGCGTCTCCACCTCCTCATTCCAGCGATGCTTAAGGAAGTCCTTCAAGGTAGGCTGTAGTCGTGATCTTTCTGGGTCAAGCTGTGGCTGGTCCTTCGGCGTTAGACGGCGGTCATATGCGCCAATTGGTGATGCAATCCAATTCAGCGATCTAAGTTGTTCACGGATAGTATGACTCTGCTCGAGGCGATTGGCTCGATGAACTTGAATTGTTAGATATAAGACCGTGGAGGTCAATGCAAACCCGCTGCACTGCGCTCTCATCAGTATCCTGTAGACTGGTGATTTTTCGATCGCGTCTGATTCTAAAAACTTACAAATCCAGCGAAGAAGCCCATGATGAAGCTCTTGTCCTCTCAGTCAGATTACACAGAATCACCGACGTTGACTTGAGATTAGGTTGGGGGAGGATCACACCACCCGTGGCCTTCAAKGAACAATAGAGCTGTTGAGGTCGCCTGTGATCACAACAGCTGGACAGTCGTTATGTCGGTAGGTGCGAGGTATAGATATCAAGTTAGAGCTATGTATGCAGAATAAGAAGCAATGTCAAGCTGATTACTTTTATGGATCATAGACTGTCATGCATTTTCCTCTACAATCTATGCGGGACGAGATGGGGAACCAAATGCGCGACTCCGATTGGCCGCAGCGTTCCAGAATTGAATCTTTCCATCCGGCATCAAAGACCTACGTCGAGCGTCTCATAGAAAAGTACAACTACTGCGTCTTCATCTCTCTACACATCCCATTGCTATTCAGCGGGTTGCTGCCACTCGAAAAGCAACCGCATTTCGATCTTGCCTCCTTTCCACCTCCTCTTGTGCTCGAATTCAGGGCAATTCGACAACAAAAAAAGAGACCGCCTAAACCAGGACCATAACGATTCCCCAACACAGCTGTCGCCATGGCCGGTGGTGCTGCTAAGTACCGTCATCTCAGCCGCAAGTCGTCGCATCGGCAGGCCTTGCTCCGAAACTTAGTCACATCGCTTTTCAAGCACGAATCTATCACAACAACCTGGCCCAAAGCGAAGGAGGCTCAGCGGCTGGCCGAGAAGTTAATAACCCTGGGCAAGAAGAATACGGAGGCTAGTCGAAGAAGAGCATTGTCAGTTTTCTATGTATGTACTCCTGCTGGTTCTGTTGATTCTGGTCAAGGAATCCTTTGGGGAGACCGAAAGCCTCGTTGGACTTCGTTTTCCCTTGCCTGAGGGACCACAGAACCGTTCCTCTCGAAGACTTCGACTAACTTCCGTGGCTAACTTCATCATCAGACACCCCATGAAATCCTTCCAAAACTATTTGGGACCCTCCGTGAGCGCTACGCCGAACGTCCTGGTGGTTACACACGAGTTCTGCGGGTCGAGCCTAAGAAAGATGATCAAGCCCCTAGCGCCATTCTCGAGCTTGTTGACGGACCGAAGGATGTGCGATTTGCCATGACAGCCCGGACCGTTGCGAGACAGCGAGCACAGGGCCTCGAGACGCTCAACGAGCTAACAACCCTGAATGTCCGCAAGGTGACAAGGTTCCGGAAAGGGGGTGTCGAGGACCTGGAACAGGCGATCAAGCGGTTAGAAATCGAACAGAAGAAAGGTCCTACGACGCATAAAGGCGAACAGGAAGCGGAGTCCAAGCAATAGACCCTGTCGCCAGGCCAGTTTCAATGGTAAACAGGAGGAATTTCTCAGGTGCAAGGGCTTAGTTGGGTCACCGGTACTTCTCTCTCCATCGATCTTGGTGCGTTCGGCACTGGTCTGTGATGATTATTGTATTTGTAGCTATACTTTTGTCCTGCGTATGATGCCCTTTTTCTCTTGGCATCGACTCTAACAGAATGTCTGTATATTTGGCAGTTGATTCCGCATTCTCATGAAAGTGTTTAGGTCGGTATTGATCTCGTATAATCTACTGGAGAAATCACTATATCGTCATATTCTCTTTTCTATTTTAGTGCAATGATTCCAAAGAGCGCTTGACTGATCAATTATCGGTTGAGAGAGGGGTGGCTATTGACTGCGGAGACGTCGCTATAATCATAGTGATTCCGGTAATTTTTATGAGTCTATTCCATTTGGTAGCGCCATGGTTTATGTCTCTGGGAAAGTATTTTCATCTTCTTTTGTCAATAATTGAATGGGCGATACTATCAATAGCCGAAAATATGGCAAACCAGCCGTTCTCAGCCAGTCCGTCCACGAGACAGCAGGTGTATGAAGCCAACTATTTGCGTACTCATAGCGAGACTCCCATTCCCTCTTCTTCTATGTTGTAGATCTGAACGAACAAAAATTCACTCAGCCTATTTCACACTACTATCTGCCAGAGATAACAGGAGTTGAACGATGCGCCAGTATGCAAGGAGATCGTCGGATGGCAGAATTTAGTTCACCTTGGGAAGACTTGTCCCTCCCGAGACAACAAGAGGTCCGTTCTTGGAGTTGGTCAGTATGTTGGAGTTGTAGGAGTGCGATGGGGCAGGAGCGATTCGATGCTTCAACTCGAAATCAGAGGGCATCTCGGACGGTGGTGGTTTCGGAGGCAAATGAGAAGGCGTTCCCCATTTTGCGATGGAATCTCTGCTACCGGGAGGGCCACAGCGCGTCACGCCTTGCCCCATCGCGCTTCCCTCTTGAGACTTGTTATTCGGGTCTTGATATCCATTCCACTGAGTCTGAATACCGGGCTGCATGGTGGGATACGTGTTCATGTTGTGTTGGCTGGTCTTACTCGGGTGACGGGCCAAAGAAGTCCCACCGGGTACAAATGAGCGAGTTTGCGGATTGAATGGGGATCTTGCAAAACTGCCTGGCAGAGGGTGCGAGTTCGGATGAGCTTGCATGGCTGTATTTAGCGATTGTTGCCCTGGATATTGAGCATAGGGATAAGAAGTGGGATTAGGCGGCTGCGAGGGATAATTTGGCCAATGAGCGGTGGGATGGCTGCGATGCGCAGGCTGATAGCCTGCAGCATACGGGGGCGAAGACCAAGTCGACGGCGACTGCGCATATGGTGGGATGGTGTAGTTGTTCAGCGCAGGCGATGACTTCGCCGACGATTGCTGGGTGACCATCACCGGTGATTGATTCATAGATGTGTATCCTGAATAAGGAGATTGCTGGGGTACAGCGCCGCTCTGCCATGAACCAGTTGATGTCATCTGAGGAGAGACGGGTATCGAGTATTGAGGTAAGGAATTCAGATTGACGTGGTTGGAGTACATAGCACTGTTTGGAGCAGCCTGAGCATAACCCGGAGGAGACATTCCGGGCCCTACCATATATGGGGCTTGGTTAGAAAATGAAGAATCATTTAGTGCCACATTATAGGGAACCGTTCCATTGTTATACTGCATTCCCGGATAGTAGGCGTTGAACTGAGACCGGGCCTCAAAGCTGTCGTCATGTGGAGTCTTCTGTCGGTGTGTTTTCTTGCGTCCACTTGTTGAGCTCGAGCGTGACATACTCGCCCCTTGGTCACTGATATCCGAGGATTTTGTCTCAGGGAAATCGCGGAAAATCCGCTCTCTTGCTTCCTGATACTTAGCTTCTCGCTCTTCTCGCGTCAAGGCCATCCTGTCCTTGGCAGGGGTGGCCCCGGCTGAAGAACCACGTTCGCCGTCGTTGCCACTGTCGCCCACCTCCGACGCGGTCTTTGAAGGCACTGAAGAACTTGCTGCAGTGCTTCCTTCGGTAGAAGGCCGATCCCCATCATTCCGGCGCATGATTTTCATTGCTGGGACTGCTGGTGGTGGGGTGCTATGAGTGGCAGCATGTAAAACGGAGAGCGGAGTCGGTCTGAACAGTCAGAACGAAGTCTCAAATTGGTAAAAGAAAATCAAGGAGACGCAGGATTGCATACAATCGACAAAAGGGTGTCCTATGTAGACGGACAGACGTAACATTGTTATCCACGAAATGGGTCAAATGATAATAATCACCCAATTTGTGCGCGAGTAGTCTTCCGAAGGCATTTGAAGGTGGAAGCTCCAGAGATTGCTCCCTAAATTAGAACGTCAGATGCCGAAACGAACAGCGCAACTATCAAAAAGCCATTCACTTACTTCGAATTCTGAATGAAATTGCGAACTTTCTCCTCCAACTGAAGAATCAGGAGACGATCCTTTGGAGATTTCATCGCCTCAAGGAGCTTTTCGTCCGGCTCGAGAGGGAAACCATTCAAACTGTGTTCAACTGGGAAGCCTTCTGCACTACTAGGCAGGACAAAATTATTAGCAACGGAGTCCGGGTGAATTATCCCGTCCGGTCGCTGGCCGCCATCAGGAAGCAAAACAGGCCGGGGTTTTTGGCTACTCAAGTCTCGCGGATGATCCCTGTATATGCGGACACCAGATTCGGATCCCGTAAGTGAGTTCGGTGCACCCGATGCAGGTCCCGAAAGAGACTCTTCCTCATCAACAGCCTGTACGCTGGCACTATCGTCGGGTCGCAAAGAATCTTTTTCGTCCATTGCGAAAGTGGTAACTGAGGCCATACTCTTCGAATCGAAACTCGTCTGTTTTGTTGAGGACGTCGAGAGATGTGTACGATCATCGTCAAAGGACGCCTCTCGTTTGAGAGCTCCGTGTTCATCGACTTCTGAAGTAAAGCTGGGGCTCTGTCTGTCGCTAGTGTCTGTTATATGGACGTCTTGTACAGCTCGCGCTAGACTATCTGGACATGAAAGCCTTTCCGCGTTCTGTGCATCATTTCGTTCGCCAGACCCGAGCTCTTCTGGTTTCGACGGCGGAGCCATTGCGGCTATCTATTATAATCATTAGAGAAACAGAGGCCATCAATTACGCTGTGACGTCTTCACCTGGACGAGAACATACCTTCGCGAAAGACAGGCGATGATCAGCCTCTGTAGAATTTTCCGAAGCCATGACAGTGGTAAAATCCTCAAACTAGCCAGAACCTCCTCCCTTCGGCGTGCGCTTCAAACAGGTACGATTGTACTGATTCGGGAAAGACTCCGGGAAAAAGGCTGCCGACTGCTTCAATATGCTGCGGGTTCTGCTTGATTTTCAACAGGATGAAACCGAATTCCGAATTGAGAAGAAGCCACTCAAAAATCCCACTTCACACAAGCCCAAAAAGAATGACGACATATCTCTGAAAATGGGAGTTCGCCATATGGAAAGCTGTTCAACGTCAGATATATTGCGAGCACAATGAGCCGTGCCCTGCAAATGATCGAGTTTCGGAAAGAAGGGAAAGTGAGGCAAAGAGGAACGACCAGGAGAATTGACTGTTCTTACACGATGGTCAAAACGACTGGTTCATGATTTTCTGATATAATATTTCGGCAAAGGGAGAAACACCTTCTCCCAACACGGGTATCTAAAAAACCCAGTCCAACCCAAATCGGAGCGGGTCAAAGAGAGGTCGGTTACCCTGCTAATAAAGATGAAGGGTCATAAAGAGTTCCAGATAGTTCAGGGGCACTGAAAGGTGAATAGGTTGAATCCTTTTCGTCCTTTGGGCTGAGAAGGAACGAGGCAGGCGATGATCAGGTTGGGATTCGCTTGTCTCCTCTTTCAGTGGTGCGCTTAACCGCGCGTATGTAAGTCGACCTGGCCCACTTGCCTGGCAGGTCCGCCTGAATAGCCGCGGAGAATCGCGATTGCGGTGTTCGAAAAATTGGGCTTTGTCAGTTAAGTGATGAGAGACTGAATACTTTTTTTAAGCACTTCTTGCGGCATCTCTAAGATTGTATCTTTCACATTCGTACAATTATTATTTTTTCGATTTTTTTTTGGGCTCGGCATATCATTTGATTCAGATGAATCGATACCGGAACGCACCAGGCATCAGAGGCCCTACCAAGCCGACTGCCAGTACTCTGTGTCAAAAATGCTTGAAACGAGATAAGTACATAGATTTTAGTGGCTATTCTACATTTGACTGACTCCTTTATACGACACTACAGTTATGAATGCACGGTATCTGCACAGGAACGACCATATACATCTCGACCTTCTCGCACACAACAACTGCAAAACCCCAATCTGCGACCGAAGCTGACGACTGATGTTCCAAACGAACTGTTAGGGTCGTAAGTTGGTGCATGAGTTATTGGATGTGGAAAGCTTAGCTGACGTTGGTGGTAGGAGAGGTGTCGCCGATGAGATATTAGCAAGACGAGGAKAGGAACGAGGTCGCAAGAGGGAGCTAGGGGATTCAGATCCATTTGATGACGGCCATCATGCGCCGAAGCGGAGTAGATCAGAGTCGTCCCACTCTCTGTCATCCGTCTCAACGATATCGACTAGTCGATCGCATTCAGTCTCGCCGCCACGGCATGAAGTTTATACTGAAAGTAGGGGGCGAGACCGAGCCCAATCAACCTCGTCGCATCAACCACCATCAAGAAAGAGACGATTCAGTGACTCATTATCCGACCATACTGACTCTTCTTACTCATCTGGTGGGCGACAGCGCTCTCGATCGAGGGAATGGGAGACAGACAGAAACACAAGACGAAGGCGTCGGGAATCTAGCCCTGAAGAGCGTGGTCGACCTAGGAACATCTCTGAAGACGGCAGCCGGAGGGGTAGGACACGAAGCCTAAGTATGGACCAGAGTCGAATTGCCAAAGAAAGACGGTCGGCGACTCCAGATACAGTGAAGGGACGGCGCCATCCAACAAGAGATTCCGAGGGAAACATGAGCCGGTCGAGGCAACTGGACGACCAGCGCAATCACGCCTTCAGCGGACCTATGTCTGGTTCAGCGCGAAGGGAAAGAAGCCTCAGCCCTTACAGTAAGCGCCTGGCGCTGACTCAGGCCATGAACATGGAACGCTGAGTCGGAATCAATTAAGTCGAGTAAAAGGAGAATTTGGAGACTTTCATCTCAGACCTTCGACTGGATTGGAAAATATTGTGCTTTCTTGATCCCAGCCAGTAATGTACTATAGTAATACAGAGAGCATAATTGCATTAACATCCATGCAATCAAAATGCAGATGACCACTAACGCCTGTTTCTGACCGTCCCGAGTACCAGCTCTGCTGCGCCATAGTAATGTGTTGTATGATAAAAAAAAGCATATACGGCCATAGATCAAGCTGTGCGAATCCTCATGGGTATCATGAATCCCCGTCGATTTCTCGTCTTTCTTCTTCCTCTTCCCTCTCGCGGACGTGAATTCCTTCCACCAGCATGTCTCCTTCAATGCCTACCTCCTCTCCCTGCTCATCTTCGTTGCGGGTCGTTCCCTGCGCCTTCGCTGCTCGTTGCGCATTCTCCATGCGCTGTCGAACCAACTTCGCAATTGCATTTTCCGTCCTCACATTAAGAGTTTTCATTTTTTCATCAAGGTCACGCTTTAGGTCCCAGTTAGGTTTCTTTGGCTGCAACTTGAATAGGTCGATCGGTTGGTCMTTCTCCGCATCCTTCTCCGCCTGCTCCGCCGTAGCCTTTGCTATCTCAGCAGCTTGCGCTTCAAGAGTCTTCGCTCCATCTGTTGGCGCTTGGTCAAACCCCAGTTTAGGCCCTCGAGTTTCTGCATCGAAATTGCGCCCGGACAGGTATTTTCTTGTGACATCGGGAGCGGCATCCTCAAGCTCATGGTCTCCAGCACCCGCCTCTGTGAGTGACTCCGGTTCCGGTTGCTTCCTCTTTAGAGCTGCAAGCTTCGCAAGACGGGCTTTGCGTTCTGTTGCCGCCGCATCAAGGGAGGTGTGATTCAGCGACATTGTATTGGAAGGAAAGAAGTAGAAGAAAAGTAACGGAAAGTAAAATTTCAGGGGTTCGAGAAATACCGCTGGCGTCGATTATAGAGGTTAAGTTTGCCCCAAGGCGACTTTGCGACAAAAGAAAAAGGTCTCTGAGTTTTTGGTACAAGTAGATGAGGTAGCCGATCACTTTCTGCGGTGTTGATAACATCCATACGATTTATCGGAAGTGGTGCGCCACAATTAAATTGTCACTAGCCACATCCGCGTCGGATCAAAATTGGCGGCATTTTCTGCGGGTTGATCCATCCATGCAGTGATCTATGAAACTGTCACTCACCGATTCTTCGCCGTCCTCATCGCCTCTTGGGTTCGCTAGTATCCTGTTCAGAATCATTCATCAATGTACGTGATCAAGAACTACTGAATGTCATTTTGTCCGCAGCGTCTCCTTCGTTCCCGCTTCAGCGCTGGACTGCCATCCTGGGATCCGCATCACAGATGGTATCAACCAGGGACGGGCATTCAAGGCGCGAGAGCATTATATTCCGGTAATGATGCGTCGAATACGAGAACTCAGCTCCCTCCCGCAGTTGATACAGCTATTATCCGTACAACGACCCCCTATACTATTCCGGAAGATCCTTGTCGAAAGAGTGTACCTCGGAGATTATCCTCTACAACGTCCACTGTCGATAAGACTTTCAATCCCGATTCACCCTCCGGGATTGATTTAATTGAGTCACAATCGCCCACAGTGCTCGAGGACCCTTCTCCTTGTGCTGAACAGGAGTCAGTTGCTCCTAATCAAGTTGGAAGATATGCGGGCCGACGACCAAGATTTCCAAGCTTCAAACGCCTGCTTTCGATCCCAGGACGGAGTAGCATCTTCACCTCGGGTCCAGCGCCAGCCATAATCTACAAAACCAAGGTCATGGTTAGGGGTCAGCCCAGGGACAGGCAAAGAGTTCTCCGACCTAAAACTGTGGCTCTAGAGAAGCGCATCAGATCTCAGACCTTCTTTCACGAAGGGCTGAATATACGCACATGGAGAATTGCACAAAGCGATCTGTATAGGTCCAAATTCTACGAAAGAGAGATTCGAAATGAGTTCTTGAGAGACTTGAAGCCGAACCCCGTCGAGCTGGACCTCCTAGAGAAACTCAAAACGGATAGTCAAAGCAGTTTCCGTGAGGCTTGGGAGGCGTTAAGCAAGAGGGACAAAGCCCTTCGTTGGCACAATCTATCTCTATGGTTGTTGAAGGAGTCTCCAGAGCTTGCTCTAGAATTTTTTTCAGTTACCACTCATGGCAAGGAAAGGCCTGTCTTTGTGATGGTTGCAGATGCCTTCCTTTTCTTGGACTCATTTTACTACGATAGGCTCAAAGACTGGAGAAAAGGGCCGCACACATACCAATCTGTCTTCAACGCCGCCTTGGGACCCCGCAATTGGCCAATTCTCTTTTTGCCGCAAAAAATCGTTCGACTTTATGTGAAGCGCGCTGATCGTGACGCAATTTACTATGCTTATAAACTTGTGTGTGAGCGCAAGATTCATACAAAAGCGGAGACACATCTTTGTTTCATGTGGCGATTCATCGAGTTCAAGGACGTCAATCAGGCACTTGACGTTCTTGATAACGTGCGGCGAATGAAACAGGTTGAGTTTGGGATGGATTCTCAGAGCGTGATGCGCCACTGCTGCAAGCTTCTCACACTTGATTCGGTCCAAGAAGGGCCGGAAGGGCGAAATTTCTACATTCTTCCCAAATTACTCAAAATGGGTGTTCGGCCAGATCGGGATATGATGAACGTTGTTTTGTCCAATGCCTTCAAAACAGGTGACGAGCAGTTGGGTCTTGATATGCTGGAATATATGAAAAATAATGGCCTTGAACCAGACTCTTACACCCATTTGATCCTCCTCAACGATGCTGTTGCGAGAGGGAATCGAGACCGTGTTAGTTCCTTGATTCGGGAGATCGAATCTAACGAGGAGCTGCTGAAGAATCCTTGGATCACAAGTAAGATCTTTCATGCTCATTTCGTTTTCACTGCGAAGCATATAAATCCAGACGACGATCCGGATGCGGTGTTCTATTCCATGCTGGAGATGTATAACAAGCTACATGACATTACTCCTTTGAAGGAGCTCTCTATCTTACCGCCTGAATACACACCTCCACCGGGGGGTGATAATACGCCACCTACCACGATCGCTTTGTTTCTCATGATTGCAACATATCTACGCTGTCGAAGGCGTGTCTCTATTGCTCAGCGCCTTTATACGAACTTTCGCTCCCTGGTGCTGCAGGGACACTCCACAATTGCTCCTCTCGCAGCAAGCGATCACGTTTATAACGAGTTCCTTGTGGCGTTTCGGGACAATCCTCGGGGGTTGCGACCAGCTATGCGAGTAGTTGAAGACATGCTGCAGACTTCTGCTCTAACAAGCAATAACCGGGCAATGCGCGAACAAGCAAGTGGTCATGCCTTGCCTTCTGTTCGAACATGGACAATCTTGATGAGTTGCTTTATCTTCAACAAACAACCGCACGCTGCAGAGAGAGTGAAGGAGATGATGGCTGAACACAATGTTGAATTCAACAAGGTCACCTGGAATATTATCATCAGTGGTTACGCCTGTAAACAAAGAGTTTTTGACCTTGCCCAAACAATCAAAGCTATGGAGGACGCGGGATACGTCATTGACTCCTACAACATGAAGGCTCTTCGTTACCTTCGGGACCCTGAACGACTGTGGGTGGCTCTGGAAGAGTTGGACAAGCTATCACAGCCTTCTCTCAGCACGTTTGCCGACTCCAAACTCGCACCTCCAAAGAGCGACAAAAAGACAAGGGATGAGCTTTTGGATCAAGGGCTCAAACGGTTGAGGGAGAAACTAAAGCCCAAATTATGAAGATACCCCTAAATCTTTTGACGTCTTTCTTCTCATTGTTTATGGTTATTGCATCAGAAGCGCGGGTTCTGGAAAACTGGATGACTTCTAAGGGCAGGGAGTCACAGCTAAAGCATGGGTGTTTCTATTGGTGTATAGAGCGTTTCTATGATTTTCTTGTAAATTATTGCCCGGATGTATGTACATTAGAAATAAGCATGATAAAACTCCCTACGCATGATATTCCATATCCCCGTACAGGGGAGAAATGAATGAACGCCGACAAGTCAAGGAAGCCACTGAATTTGCTAGCATGAGACATAGAGCTGAGAGATACGTTTCAGCCGCCAAAGAAGATTGAGACCTGAAGTTGATACCATCGTTAGCTCTAATATACGTCGGATATGATGATGCAGAATCAGCGTGTACTCACTGCCATCAGTACGCAGCAAATACTAACGTACGGACTTAGACGTTCTCCAATACGAGCGCACTTCCAGAATATCCCGAAGAACCTGAACGGTGTGAATGTCAGTCATCGAGCAATTTGTGGTAGGAACAAGTGAAATGACAGATTGCTGAGAACCTACCCACGCTGGTTGCGGTCCATGATTCCTGGCATGATGGAGTGCGCGTAAGTGCTTGTGCAAATAATAAGCAGGAACACAAGGAGAAGTGACTGAAAGTTGAATAAGGCAGACTGCAACATTGAGTTAGCTTTGTTCTAACCTGGTGCGCGATGGCGAGGCTTCTCAAGAGAGCATTCACTCTATTCTAAACTCACCATCTTGACTGTAGCAGAGGATCGCCACCCTTCTTCCTTACGCACAAACTCGTGCAAAATTCCTAGTTACGCGATTGATCAATCAATCAGTTTGTGCTTTTTTGAGGACCGCTATCACTGTCTCATGCCTGGTGTTCACACACACCAGGATGGCAGATCACAGTGACCACAGTTCTGACCGCCTCGGCAGTCCTGCCCGTATGAATCCTACTCACCGCTCTAGACACCGCCATGTCCACAGCAGACGCAACACTATCAGTAATTCCGCGGCTCATCATACTGCGTCGTCTGTTACAGCAGAAAGATCTTCACGACCGCATCAACGCACTCCAAAGCCATCAGTCCCAACACGATTCGGCAGTTCTGGCCATGTGCCGAGCGAGCTCGCTCCTCCTTGGCCTTTTAACCCCCAGGAGACTGCCCTGATACGCGCCGGCTATATTCCAGCCTTCAAACCAGAAGTCTCAGCTATACAGGAAGATTCTCCGTCGGAACCAGATTTCAAGAAAAGGAAAAAGCAGAATCGAGATAATCCATCCAGCATGGCGGAACCTAGAGCACGTGCTGCAAGGCACAAGGGTCAGATGAATTTTGCATCGGAGCGTACGTGCCTACTAACTGCTTGTCATTATGGAATTGACGTCGCGTGTGCAAAGGGCTTCTGCAGCTAATATATGGCTATCTAGTGCGTCTTCTGCTTCTGGCATATGGAGATCCCCGCCCTCATCCATCCTTCCCATCTGAGCCCCTTCCCGAGACCGTCCGTGTTCTCGATGAGATCGTCACCGACTTTGTCCTTGAGATGTGCCACAATGCAGCCCAGTATGCCAGCTACTCCCGTCGCCAGAAGATTAAGGTCGACGACTTTCGTTTTGCGTTGAGGCGCGACCCGAACAAACTCGGTCGTGTCCAGGAACTCCTGCGGATGGAGCGCGAGCTGAAAGAGGCTCGTAAAGCATTTGATCAGAATGATGATCAAGTCGGAAATCTCAAGGATGCGGGCAAGAAGGGACTCGAGGAGCTGGGCGAAGGCGCGGATGGAGCAGGAGGAAAGAAGACCAAGGGCAAGGGAAAGCGACCTTCCAGGAGAGATTCGGACGCTACAGAGGATACTGTTTTGAAGAAGAGGAAGCTCTGAGCAGGCAGACCGTTTTGCTACGGCCTTGTCCAGCTCCAGGTTTCGGCCGTGACGGTCCTTTCACGTTACCTACTTGATGGAAAGCCCGGCTGGGCTTCTCCAGAAAAGGCGTATTTCCTCTCCCATATCAAACGACACATCTGAGGCATGGTCTCGAAGGATCATTGGAAAGATCTCGGAGTTTCGAATGTACATGCTCGTGCGTTAGCGGATGCCAGCGGCGACATTTCGTCTACCAGTAGCCGCACCAGGGAGCTCCCGTCCTGTTTATGTCCGCTTGTCTTGGCTTCTTTCTTACCATGATGATGGCTTGAAAAGTAGCTCTGATAGTGTCACCGGGCGTGAGTCGCTCGGATGTATGTAATGATTATCAAGAAAGAGCTTCTCAGACCCTGACTGTGCCTCACTGGCGCTGCGCATCGCCGCTTATGGTAGCGTGTATGCCCCTTTGTACTTTCGACAGATAGTTAACCAATCTTTAACAATGCATTGGCTATGCTGTGGTGTACATTTATGGTAAGCATGGGATGCACCTGGACTCTAATTCAAATATTGCGTTCCTTTTACGTTCGTGTGGTCCCTCGGCAGTCTTCGATGGCTTCTTCGAACCTCTAGTTCTGCTAAAATCTCCATTGCCCCTCATTTAGGATGTTCAGGGAGGTCATAAGCTCMAGGCCCACTCCCGATAATTACTTAATGAACATTGAATGTCTAATAAGCAATTGGAAATAGACATTTCTAGCCTATGACTTTGATGTAGGATGTGCTGACTTCCCATATACTACTTACCCACGATGTAAGTGCTAAGTTGAAGCTTGAGATCGCAAGTTATTTAGCTAAGGGCGTACATCTCTGCAAGTTTGTTTGAAAACGAGCCTCAATACAATTGGGACTTCAATATAAGGAAAGCAACCAGTTGCGTCAGTGTCTGGAACAGAAAACAGGACAAAAAATAAAAAAGAATGAGACGACACCTCTGGGATTCGAACCCTGTTGTAGATTGTTAGCAGTGAATTTGATTATGTTAATATCGCAGTGGAACATACCAGGCGGGCGAACCCACAGGCTTAGCAGGCCTGCGCCTTAACCACTCGGCCAAAGTGTCCGAAGATGGAAATACTATGTTATATAGTGATATATGGTGCGGTTGTTTTAACACGCTAATTCCGATCTAGAAACCTCAACTGCCCTCATCTACGGAGTACTCCTATTCTGCTCCGGCGTGGCGAATCCTAGTGCTGGTCACTTTTAGATTGCTGGCCGGATATCCATGAAACTTGTATAATGTATCCAAGGTAAGTGTATGAATAGCTACTCCAACTGATCTCTTAGCTACTGTAGTACTATGATTAAGCATCCCAGACACTGCAAGTAGGGCCGCTACGCCACAGGTTATAAGGCAAGGAAAAAGAGAAGAGAAGGAAGTAAAAGCAGGATTACCTCCATGAAAGCTGCGGGCCTCGGTTACCTAAAATTGCTAAGTACTGTGTAGGTAATCTACCTTATTCTGTACTCGTGCAGGGCTTCCTAGTCCAAGGTGACTAATTTAGATACAAACCTGCAATTTTGTCTTTTGACATCCTAGAGGACGGTTTGCCTCCAGTAGACTTATTCTGGGTGGCAAATTACCCATTGGACACTTTGGCCGAGTGGTTAAGGCGCAGGCCTGCTAAGCCTGTGGGTTCGCCCGCCTGGTATGTTCCACTGCGATATTAACATAATCAAATTCACTTCTAACCCTCTACAACAGGGTTCGAATCCCAGAGGTGTCGTCTCATTCTTTTTCTTACTCCTTTTTGTGGCTCCTAAATGGTCCCGCAGTGGGCTCCTTCGAGCCTTTTTTTTTCCCATTCAACGCCACTAAACTGCGTCTCGTGTGGCCAGCCAAGGAAACCGCTATTTTTTTTTATTCTTTTTTTCCGTCTCTATAGTTTATTTCCTCCGTCGTTTCTCCCTACTCCCATCTAATTTTCTCAGATGATGGCTCCAGTGGCTAGATTTCCGAATGTCGGCTTCCTCAAGATTGTGCAGACTTAATGATTTGAACAGCATTTGAAATAGTCCTACGCATCGCAATCAGACTCCGACATTATGTTCATACTCTTCCCAACACGTTATTTCCTGCGGCTGTGGAAATGCCATTGTCAGTTCTGATTGTAGATTTTAAGAAACCCGCATTTCCTTACCCCCTGACACTTTGGCCGAGTGGTTAAGGCGCAGGCCTGCTAAGCCTGTGGGTTCGCCCGCCTGGTTAGTAACATCGTCATCATAAAGTGTCAACTTTCTCTAACAATTCCCAACAGGGTTCGAATCCCAGAGGTGTCGTAGTCTTTTTGCTTCTTTTTAGACCTTATTTTGGTACCCATCGTCTAGTACTACCCCGCGCTTTTATCGGCCTGTCGCCTAAATCGACAAGATATTGATAGACCAGGTATAAGTCGAAAAAAAATCGCGAAAGTCTACACACTAATTGTTCTCATCGTTGAAAGAAACAGAACTAGGCCCAGTAATCATAGTATTGTCCACATATCTAACTCTTATCTTCTCCAGATATGATCTTGCCACTGTCGTCAGTGTATGCACCTCCAACAAATGGTCTTAGGGCCTGGGGGACTCTTTCGTGGCTCATCTGAATATTGAGATATCGGCGGGGCCTCGTCGCTATCTCCTCATCTGTGACTCCAGACATCCAGTCTATGAACCCGTTTGCTTTCTTAACGAGCTTTGTTCCACGACCAGAGGCGTAGAAGCCGAATTCCTGTTTTTCTGGACCCATGACAGTTAATCGGAACGCCAGCCTAGATGCCGGATCTTCGCTAGTCGCATGGGAAGCCCATCGTTGAGGGTGCTTTTGACCGTGGGGCTTGATTTCTGCCCTGATTCGGACTCTTCGAAGAGAATTAGGGTCAGGAAATGTGGCCCTGAGCTCTCCATCGTACGGAAAGTATAAATCCAACCTGGCAGCATAGGTTCGAAAGAATGATTTTAATGGCGCACACTTCCCTCGGAATTCAAGTTTGGCATTAACGGTTCCCTGAAGCAAGGCCATTTGTACCTTCAAAGTACTACCCTTTCGCTTTCGAAGCATTGAGGGCTCATCCGAGTTCGAGTGCAATGCAAGACTATTCTGAGGAAAGTTGTTGTTGGTCCTCTCATCATCAGTGATCATCGCACACTGGAGACTTTCCTGCTCCAGGTCCTGTTGGGTTTCTAGCATTTCGTCGTCCATGAAGTCCATCTCGTTGTACACCTGAAAAGAGTCATCTGGTGGGCTGTTGCGAGTTGAAATTTCTGTCCAGAGATCTCGAACTATCCCCAACTGGTTCTTGTCAAAAATGCCTCTTCTTCTGTTAATCGAAGGGAGCATCATGCTTCTTTTTTCCGTACCCTCGTGTATGCTCCTGGGGAGAATCTGCGTGAGCATCAGCAGAGCCGCTGTTAACGATTCTGCTGAGGACTCTAGGCGCACAATGTCTTCGTGATTTTTGAAACCCTTTGCTTCAAGCCAGGACCTTATGTTTGGGTCTAAGTTGTCGGCGGTCATCTTTGGGTGGCCGTTGCGCTCCCAGTCGTATTGGCGAATGACCTGGAGGAGCACCAGTTGACAGCAGAACACATTTGGTCGTATCCCACGAGTGTTCGTAATCAGGATTGCAAATTGCAATAGCGCTGACAATGCTGCGGCCTGAGCCCAGCTATTTCCCCACAGAGCAACCAATGGGGCAGGGGAGGCAAGATAAATGCATTGTCTTCCACCCTCCATTATTTCAAGCCATGCTTTGAAGGCACGACCTCGAAGGTAGAGCTTGAAAGCATCCGTCGATGGGTTCCCTTGAAAAAGAATCCTTTCAGCCTGTTCGTCACACACCAAAATCACCTGCAAATGGCTTCTCGCAACAAGTTCACGATTCAAGCAGCGAAGGATATGGATCCCTGAGGGTGCCTCTGTGCGGATCTGAGTCCCTAATTGCAGGGTTACTAAACGCCGGAAGCCGGCAGTCCATACCAAACAGTTCGAATACGTCAACCCACATGTCGCAAGGTGAGAAGGTATTGACCCGCTTTTGGCGTTGGAAAATCCCCAAAGACTTTCATTAAGAATGAGACCAAGGCGAGAATGGTGGTTGCCGATCGGAAGCGATATCTCCTTTGTTTCGTCACCAGGAAAGTGAGTTTTAGCCAAATCTGCTTGCAACCATGAGAAATCCATGGCTTCCATCATCCCACGTTCCGGAATATCTTGGTCATTGCGTTGGAAGCACTCTTGCCGTAACCGCAAATGGGGGTGGGTATCGATGGCTTCCTGGATCGCGGTCTCGCAGTCCCTCCTTGTGAACTCCGAGAAGGATCGAAACTGAAAATTATGGACTTTGTTCTTGTGCTCCATGCGGGCTTCAGGCCATTCCCGGATGTCCTCATCCGTTGACTGTCGGAGCTGCAAAGAAGATTGGTATCGGGCCCATGGCGATAGGCTGCGTCCTTGGAGAAGAGGCGAGATGAGATTGAGGCCTTGGAAAGAGTAAGTGAAACCATCACATGGCCGTCCAAACACCCTCTTTAACTCTTCAGGTGGAAGTGATTGGAAGGACCGAGCCATTATCATCTCCAAGATGTTGTTGAGAGCGGTATTGATGACAGGATCGACGTTTTCTGGTAGGGCAAGTGTCCATAGCCTAACAAAGTTCGCTGTGCGGTGCCCACCTCCCCTTCGAATGACGAAATAATGAAGGGTGTCCGTGTCACCGGTCCTGATCGCCCTGACATGCTGGGCAATGCGCTGTTCGGTGTTGCTGGATTGCCCTACATATGGGCGCCAGTAGTCCGGGTCGCGGTCGTCTGTCACGTAGTCCAGGTATCCACTGTTCAGCGGCCATTGAGTCTCATTCTTTGCCTGCGCTTGTCGTACTTCGTCAAGTCTTATTAGAAGATATATAGGTCAGTTATTGTTCACATAAAGCCATCCTCGACTGAACGTACAAACTTCTTGTGATTATCCGCCCTTCCAGGTTCCTAATTGTTGGGTCGACGGTGCCAAGCAAAACTTCAGTGAAGCTGTCGATGCTGTCAAACAGAGAGACGACATCAGTGTATGGGATATGCCGAAGATAGCTGTCTCTACCGAAATCTCCCTGGAGTTTGGTAGCCAACAAAATTATCATATCTCGCAGTGTCGGGAACCTAACAGGAGTCTGGACCACAAGCCAGCTATCGGTAAGAGATGGAAGGCTTAAATGAGAGATTTGGCACAGCCTTACCGTTTCAACTGAATTAGAAGGCTGTGATGGGTCTGTTTGAACAGCAGCAGGGTTCGACCTAGCGACAGGACTGTTTTGGCACCTGTTGGCTTTATGGCCCCTCTGACCACATCTTTGACAAGGTTTTGCCTTTAAGCAATCTTTAACCGCATGGCCATTCCTTTTGCAATAGATACACCTGTTAATAAGGTCAGGGCAACTGCTTCTAAGATGCCCAAGGGAACCACAGTTGTAACAGGCTCGATTTGGATTCTCTCCTTGTAGATAGATGGCCATGCTGGTACGTACTTAGACCTGACACAGAGAAAGAGTATCAGCTGATGAAAGACAAAGAGAAGTCGAAAATCATGCTAGGATTGGATGATGGGGCTTTATATCTTGAGGGAGAGAAGGTGTCGAAGCGCTGTAAGCATAGTGGAGTTCTCTCAGTGAATAAGAGCCATTCTGCTACGTACAAAGATAGGTGTGTACGGGCAAAGACCCAACTCATAAGCTGAGATGGCATCAGTCTGGGAAAAATCAGGCAAGCATTTGGATGGCCTCGACAGCGCATGGTTTAAACCAAGCATGCCTTACTCTGAAGCTCTCTGGAACATAAACCCTGGAAAGAGACGACACATCTCTAAGATCGATACATAGCCCGCTAAACCCATATCAATGGCATACAAGCAACTGCAGATGACAAAACAAACAGCAGCATGTGGAGACAAGCGGATTGAACCAGGTAAGCCCTGCCAGCTCTGCTTAACTCCTAAGCAAAACCTGCCTGGTGTATGTAGAAGCATAAATCTAAGCTCGAACAAGGGGAACAAGAAGCGGCGGTTTTACAGTAGAAGAATCCACGGTGTCTAGCACATATGTCCATTTCGTCATGACCAACACGTCACTCAGATAGTAATCATCTCATAAACATCTGGTTTACATCGCAACTATCAGATGACCAAGGTCCTCCCTGCTCTAGAAAATAAGGGCCGTGGAACTCGATCCCCGTACACAGGTGTATATCCATTTCCCCGATTTCCTCCCCAATCATCCCTCTGAGCAAAGCCAGAATGACTCCTGTACGCCGTGCTTTTCTTCGTTGGACCCCCTGGTCGCCTCGTCGTATGTCTGATCCTCGCCTTGACCTGGCAACAGTATGCGTAACAAAGATGGAGATATAGAGCCAGGCCACCAGTACTGAAAAATTCTTCCAAAGCAAACCCAGGACGAGATACAAGACAGACACACATCAATAAGACTGATTGGGGGAAAAAAGATAATGATAGGAAGAAGTATCACAAGGACTGAACAGCTGTATGAGAGAAAACGCAGGTATCTTCACAATATGTCCTTATTCCCCTCACGCGCGGGTTTCCTCAGTGGCCCGTTCTTGAGTACGCTGCTGTCCGCCACGGCCGCCCTTGCCGCCTCTCTGGCCACGCTGAGCGCCAGCCTCGGCGGTGCCAGCCTCTCCGCCCAGAGTGAGCTGAGCAGTTGCTAGCCGGTTGGACAGTTCCATCTGTGTGCGAATGGTGTTGGCCAGGTAAGACACGACCAACACGTCCTGGATGTGGTTGTTGCTGTAACGTAGTTAGGATCAGGTAAGAAACCACCAAAGAAAGGAGGATGCAAAGAAAACATACAAGTCACGTTCAATGTCGGCGGGTTCAACCTTGGGGGCCAAGGCCAGGGCATTAAGGAGGAACTGGCCCAGTGCCGTCGAAGCGGGGGCTTCTTCATCAATGACGGATTCGACGTATCTGGAGACTCTGTCGATCATGCCAAGAACCTCCTCGATGGCACGCTCCAGAGCCTCGATATCAGTGAAGATATTTGTAGCACGGCTTTCGGCGTCTTTGGCGGAAGCAATAGTCTCGAGGCCACTCTTTTCGGCCTCGCCATAGCGAATCTCATAAGGGACAGGAATGAAAGCGGCGCTGTCTGCGGCCCTCTCGGCGGTCACACCGACAGGGGCGGAGATGTAGGCGCGGGTCTCAATATCCTTCCCAGGCTCGGTAGACACCGTCAGATGGACGGCAGGATGAGGCCATGTGCCGTCACCCTGGCCGCTGTAGAAGTTCTGGATCAAGGCGGAGAAGGTGTTTAACTCGGACGACGTGGCGTACCAACCTACAAGCACTTCCTTCGGGTTGGCTTTGAGGTGCAGCGCAAGCATTTGCTTCTGGTATTCCATATCCACCTCGACCTGGTCGGTGGTCTCTGTGTGCCCAACAGCAAAGGTGCTACGGATTTCCACCTCGGTTCCATCCTCTGATCTGGTTCCAAGCAGGGTACCGATGACACGCTCCTGATCGGCATTGCGACGGAGGGAATGGTCGAGAATCGAGAAAATGGCCTGTTACAAGGTGATGAGTAAGCCCGATCGTTCGACGTCTCCCCAGACGTATCCAGGACATACCTGAGGCTGAATGACAACATTCAGAGGGGCGGTGGTTGGTGCAGACCCCACTGCCACTGGGCCCAGAGGGCGAGCAAGGTGAAGGAAAGAATCGGTTTCAGCCATGTTGGAAATGTGGAAAATATGCCGAAGCCTGTTTCTCTCACAGTCTTGAATGCTTCCTCGCCGGTGGTGGGGATGGCTCTGTAATCTTTTTTCTTTCTAATTCTTCCGCCCGCTCAATCTCGGCGGAGTTCTTCGAGGCTCAAATTGTGTGTGCGCCCAAAGGGGAATTTCGCGCTAAGATAAGATAAGGCCGAGCCCCCGAAGCAAAGAAAAAAATATGAGCTTGAACAAACAGCAGGATTGGATCGTGCTTGTCAAGACTGTAACTCAAGCGCATACTATCAGAGACCTTTTCACTAATCCAGAAAATGCCCCCTGTACGCAATAGAGGTGGTAGATCCAGCAGAGGACGTGGCAAAGGACCGAGGGGCCAAACCAAGAGAAGGAATGGCTTCACCACCTCGCGAGTCGAAGACGTAGAGTAAGTATAAACTTTTCCTATATTGCGCGTCTCGCTCTCTGAATAACAATAAACTTATCTATTAGATCGGAGGGTCATTCAGATGATGAATCGCATCTCAACCAAGAGCCTATCGGAGATGAAACGGACCACGAAACCCAAATGGACGATGTCTCGTCTGATAGCGACGAGGAGGACCAGCAGACAGCTCGTCCGTACAACGAATTGATACAATTACTCCAAGCAAATACGGAACCTAAAGGCCCCGCTAGGAAGAAGAGAAAGGTTGAGCACAACGGAGAAGAGAGGAGAGATGCCGTGTCCGCCCCGAATGGAGAAGAGGACGATGCGGCCCTACTAGAAGATGATGCTTTGCAAGAGCAGGAGCCGTCAGACGAAGAAGAGGAAGAGCATCCAGAGGAAGCGCACGAAAAACTTGAGAGTGACGACGAAGAAGATGGTATTTATCCGAACCGACCCGCCGCTGTTTATCTAAACTTCTAACGCTGTACAGCAAACGATCCTTTTGAGGCTCACTTTTCGATAGTAGAAGAGAGCGAGCTGGTCCAAAAGATTAAATCAGCAGAAGAAAAGAAATGGAAAAGTACGAAGAAGGAAATCGCTAGCGGATTGAAGTTGATACGCGCTGTTCCCGATGTTGGCGATGGCGAAGTATCCTTGCTACCAGCAATGAAGCAATTCTCAAGCGTCAAGGTAGGCCACAGGCCCAGTCTAGAGACTCAATATCGACCTTCAAGATCGTTTCTTCTAAAACACTTATAGCTCAAGAAGAAACTTTATGGTCCTGCCATAGAGCGGATCCCAGCAATCAGCGGTGACGCTCAGCATCTCGCGCCTTACATCTTCGGCTATCAAGATGTTTTATACGGAGCCCGAACGACGTCGAACTCGGGCGCGATGCGGGATATCCTAGCCATTCATGCGGTCAACCATGTCCTAAAGACACGGGATCGAGTGCTGAAGAACAACGCTCGCGTTGCCAAAGAACAGGACGCAGACCTGGACCTTCGGGACCAGGGGTTTACCAGACCGAAGGTGCTTTACCTTTTGCCGACAAGACAAGCTTGCGTTCGAGCGGTCGAGTCCATAACACGTTTCTTCCAGCCGGAGCAGCAAGAGAACAAGAAGCGGTTCTTGGACACATTTTCTGCAGCCGACGACAAATCCTGGGAAAACAAGCCTGAAGACTTCCGGGAGCTTTTCGGCGGCAACGACGACGACATGTTCCGGCTGGGTCTCAAATTCACTCGGAAGACCATGAAGTACTTTGCACAATTCTACAATTCGGATATAATCTTGGCGAGTCCCCTGGGTCTACGCACAATCATGGACCAGGCTGAGTAAGTAGATCCGAGTCCTGATTTACCACGAGTTTACCTTGCTGATTGCCGTCCAGCGCAAAAAAGCGTGACCACGACTTCTTGTCGTCAGTCGAAGTGGTGATAGTCGACCACGCTGATGCTTTGCTCATGCAGAACTGGGACCACGTGGACTACATTCTCGATCATCTCAATCTACAGCCCAAAGAGGCTCACGGGTGTGATTTCAGTCGTGTGCGAACATGGTACTTGGACAACCATGCCCGATTTGTCCGCCAGATGATCGTCTCTGCTTCATTTATCACACCGGAGATCAACTCCTTGTTTTCCACACATATGCAGAACTTCGCAGGAAAAATCAAGGTGACGCCGGTGTACGCGGGGGCTATCGCCGAGGTGCCCCTCCCAGTATCCGTCAAGCAGACCTTTTCGCGGTTCGACAGTCTCACGCCGACCAAAGACCCGGACGCGCGGTTCAAGCATTTCACCACCACGGTGCTCTCGTCCTTGGTGCGAAACATCACATCCAGCCGGGACAAGAGCAGTGCGGGAGGCACATTGATCTTCATCCCATCGTACTTGGACTTTGTGCGAGTGCGCAACTACTTTGCAACATCCTCGCAAACCACCAACGTCTCGTTCGGGGCGATCTCGGAATATAGCGAGGTCCGGGAAATGACACGGGCACGCACGCACTTCATGAACGGGCGGCATTCGGTGCTGCTGTACACGGAGCGCTTGCACCATTTCCGTCGGTATCAGATCCGGGGCGTGAAGCGGATTGTCATGTACGGTGTGCCGGAGAACCCGCTGTTCTGGGGGGAAATTGTGGGGTTCTTGGGCTTGGATGCGGCGGGCGTCGTGGACGCCGCGGAGGGAGGCGTGCGGGCCTTGTTTTCCAAGTGGGATGCACTGAAGCTGGAGCGCATCGTGGGGACGAAACGAGTTGGCAATATGTTACGGGAGAAGGGAGGAGATACCTTTACTTTCGTATAGGAACATACTTTGGCGGGGGTCATTCATCGTAGACATATTTGGGTTGAGCGATATATTTAGACAGCACTTATACTTTGTGTGCCACCAAGCAACTACAAGGCCAATGATACTGTACAAGCAGGTAGATTTCAGTAGATCTTCTACCCGTTTGCCCTTGAAAAGAGTGCAGAGGATGCCAAGTCCATGATTCCATTAAACCTAGCCAATCGTCCGTCTACAGCCCCCACAGACAACACTAGCACAGAGATACTTCTTGCTTAGTCCAATAAAAAGGGCTACTAAAAAGCAGATGAAAGATACTAGCTGCGAAAAAAAAGAAGCAAAAAACATATCGATGCTTGGAGCAACTCTCGTCCTCTCAGCTGACTGAAGCCAATACATATGGTCGCTTGATCAGCTCTGCCAAGTCATGACGTGAATGGGTTATTTCCTGATATTTATGATTGACGATATTTAACGCCTGTTTATGATATCAATATTCTATTTCTTCTTTAGCTTGACTATCAATATTCTCGCCAGTTGAACAATGGCGTCCTCTCAACGCCAGTACAATACTCTCCAAAATTCGGAGAGTATCGCTGCGCCTCCGTTATCGGAGAACGGTCTGAATGGTTACGAAGATGAGATCCGCAGACCATTACTGCGCTCATCGTCCTCGACAGATGTTGAAGGCAATCGCAAGGAGGGTTCGCACCCATGGCTACGAGTTGTATACGAGGAAGGCAAAGAGATCTGGCTCCAGGGTAAGGGCATGATTCTGGTGACGTTGGCGCAGTTCTTTGGTGCTTCCATGAATGTCATGACCCAGATCCTTGAGCTCGACAGCGGATTACATCCTTTCCAGGTTGGTTTTATCCCAGGAGTGCCCGCGGGGCGCTATGCAATATATCGCTGACCAGCAGCGTAGGTCCTCTTCGCCCGCATGTCAGTCACCGTCGTGGCAAGCTACCTCTACATGTGGTATACCAAGGTTCCACATCCTTTTGGGACTCGGCCTGTGCTGGGCCTGCTGATCTTCCGGGCCATGGGTGGTTTCTTCGGGGTCTACAGTATCTACTACGCGGTCCAGTACCTACCTCTTTCCGAGGCCACCGTGCTGACCTTTTTGGCGCCCATCCTCTGCTGCTACGCTTGTTCACTCTTTATTCCCAACGAGACATTCACCCGCAGGCAGCAGCTGGCCGCTGTGGTCTCCATGGCAGGCGTAGTGCTGATCGCGCGCCCCTTCTCGTCGTCAGCAACGCCTCCCGACCCTGAAAAGCTGGAAGGGCGCAAACCCGGCACCACGGACGAATTTCAGCATCTCTTGGCAATTTTGGCGATGATGGTGGGAGTCCTCGGTTCAACGTGTGCGTACACGTCGATCCGGATCATCGGCCAGAGGTGCCATCCCTTGGTTTCGGTGACGTATTTCTCACTGTTCACTACCGTTATGTCGTTCCTGGCTATGTTGCTGGTGCCTTCCGTGCCGTTCAAGTTGCCTGAAACTGGTTTGGAATGGGCCTTGATTGTGGGACTTGGGGTTTGTGGATTCTTGCTGCAGTTTTTGCTGACCGCTGGATTGGCATACGTGCCGCCACCTTCGAGAAGATCTCTGAGGGTCTCCGGAGAAGATGGCAGTGATTGTAAGCCGACGAGATCCTCCTCGGGGTCACGTGCCACCTCCATGATCTACACGCAGATGTTGTTTGCACTGTTTTATGACAAGATGGTCTGGGGTAACACACTCTCTCCTTTGAGCTGGGCAGGCTCGGTGTTGATTGTGGGAAGTGCACTGTACGTGGCGGTCGTGCGTGATGGCAAGAAGAGTGCTGCTGCAGCAGTTGCACCTGATGAGACTGCAGAAGAAGGGAGGGAAGCGACGGCTTGAAATCACTGAAGCTGATGGGGAGGGTGGGGAAAGAGGGAGAGAGGATACGCATGTGAAGTCAATGCTTAAAGGTGAAAAGAATATCCGCTCGACTTATTGGCCGATGCTGGTGCATGAGGCGTCGCAGGAGGTAGGCAGGCCGACGATCTGTGAGCAAGGATGCAGGTCAGAGGTGGTGAAAAATATATGAAAGCGGTAAAAGTGTCAATACGATCAACATTCTGTACTATAATAGACACCCGTATATAGAGAGCAAACGCTAGTCGATGAATTGATAAGCAGTCCTAGACAAAGCACCAGAGTAGATGGATATATACTCCGCTTATGATTATCATCATACATATATGGAATGCTGTACATACACGTATTCTACTCCGAAGTTAATGCACTTTATATCATTTCATCATGAGCAAGTTGGAGTGTCTCAACAGCGCCAGAAATTTAGCCTTCCCACTTCAATTGTACTAATTGTGTTTGTAGAACACTTCCATACACATCACAATAATATCCCCAAGGGTAAAGGAAACTCTGCATTGGAGACAGAGAGAGTTAACACCTCGGGTTTCAATTAACTCCCTCTACGCAAGCGTACACATTGTTACACAAAAGCCCATTGGCCACCAAGGACGCAACAGCCCCATCTGAAAATGCATCATTGGTCCAGATACAAAATCTCAAAACGTCATAGGGTAGCAGCCATTACCGAAAAGTCCCGATCCGGAAGGCGGAAACTCCCGCGGCCAGGGAGTGCCAGGGCCTTGGCCAATCAACTGCAAGGACACCAAAGCTTTTCCAGAGGAAACAGCCAAAGACCAATCAGATATTGAGGATCTGATGAATTTGATGCCTCATGAAGAAGATCGCTGCGTGTTTCATAGGGATAATCCCTCCTCGGAGGGGTATACTCCGTATAGATAKGTGATTCAATGCAAAAGATGGATATGGCTCGAGTATATATACAGCAGATCGACCGATCTCCACGTTCATGCTAATCAAATCCTCGCTCAATTGCCCATCTCCCAACTATATATCCCATCCTACTTATCCTCACAGCGTCGGCGTCGGCGTCTCATCTTTCCCTGGTAGAAAGATACACCATTTTCTTAATCCTATAGACTATAGATCATAGATACAGAGAAGACATGCGACACTTCGATGCCTGGTTGCTTCGTGATCCATACTCTATCTGGCACTATTATTCAACCGGACGACGATGGCAGGAGATAGTCCGTGATCTCATCCAGGAACGCAAGATCTGTGCTCCCCCGGTCGACTTACAATCTTCGACCCCATCCAGACCAGTGGACCCTTACGATCGTCCCGTCAACCCGCAGTCTGGCTCGCCGCTCTTTGGCAAACTGCCTGCAGAGATCCGCTTGATCATCTACCAGTACGTCTTTGGCGACGAGGCCGTCCACCTGGTCCAGCTGAAGGGCAAGATCCGCCATGTGCGCTGCCGGCACACCTTCTCCTCCCTCGACAGTCATCGAGTCTGCTGCCCGATCACCCCGGCTCGCTGGCGAGCGGGAGCAGCAACCCACGACGGCCATTCCGACAGCATGCTCTACCCGCACACCCATCCCGCCCTCCCCAACACGCTGAGCAACAGCTCGCTCGCCCTTCTGCGCACCTGCCGTGCCGTCTACGCCGAGGCCGCCGACCTCCCCTACGCCACCCCAGTCTTCGACGTTGACGACCTGCACACCTTCGTCGCCTTCTCCCTGACCATCGACCTGCACCGCCTGCGCGCCATCCGCCGCCTTACCGTCCAGTGGACGCCCGTCTGGCAGCCCATGGCCGGCCAGGAGCACAAGGCCTCCATCTACGCGCACACCCACAACGACCACCTCTGGGCCCTCTTCTGGTCCCGTGTCGCCGCCTGCCGCGGCCTCGAGGAGCTCCATCTCAGCATTGACCTCGGCCGCTTCACCAGGGTCACCACCGCCGGCGGGCTACTCGGTGGGCAACGCCTGCGGCTGGACGTAAGGGAGTCATGGATTGCGCCGCTGCTGTCTGTGCGGGGCCTGCGCGTGTTCGAGCTGGGCATCACCGCGCGGTGTGACGCTGACCCTGTCGCGCGGAGTCTCCTGGAGGAGAACCTGCATCGCGACGCGGTGACGCTGAGAGACCATCTGCGTGCGGTCATGTGCTCGGCGCCTGGCGAAGCTGTCCTGGTTCCGGGGGTTGAGCTCTGGAAGCCTTGTTACGTGGAGGACAACTATGAGCAAGCGCAGCCTGACCGACGGCATCGAAGCAGGCCTCGTCTGGCTATTACTGCCAAGTAGATGTGCGCCTGTCGTGCATCTCACAAGAGACTATAGTTGGGATTGGATTCCCTGGATGGAGTTCAATCACCTACGCGCGCCCCTATACAGATTGTTCATGATACCCTGATAATTCTTTGATTGTTTTGATCCATATACTGTGTTGGGTGTTTTGGCGATAGAAAACATGCTTATATTCTATGCCAGATAGATGCGTCGTATTGCACGTGGCACATTGCGAACAAGCAATCAGTTTTTACCTATCCACAAAATCTAATTATAGACACTAGAAAGTAGAAACCTATGCAATAAAACAAAATGGACAAACGAATGAATCAGTCCCCAAAATACCCAAATGTTCCAGCTTATCCAACGTTAACCCAGTCAATTCCACATGTATCGATTTATTCCATCCAAGCAAATGCGTCCAAGTCCGTTTCAGAGTCAAAACCAGGGTCTGTCTCAAACAAGGTATTATCATGACGGAGACAATATCAATCAGAATGAACAAGGAAGAGATGATCGTCCGAGTTTATTAAGGGGTCTGATGTTTTTCTTTTATTTTTCTTCTGCCCTTCTTCCAGTGACAGGCCTCTAGATGTGAAGGAGGCATAAAAAGAAGGAAAGAAATCAATTTTGATCTTTTTATTTCTTTTCTGACTTTTTTTTGTCATTCGTTTTCGTCCCAGTCTATGAGCTCAATGTCAATATTACATTATACTCAGTCAAGACACCGTGCCGTAGCCAGGGACACAAAGACAGGATCATGTCCAAGGAAAAAGATTCCCTTGATTGCAACAGGTTACGATGCCGCGTGCAGAGATCTCTCGGAATCAGTATGGCCGTTGTTCGCTTCTAACTCGGGCTCGGGATCGTCCTCGCTCGTGGGCGAGTGAGGCCGGCTCTCCATGAGCGATCGTCGGCTGCGCATCATCTGCAAATATGGTCAACACTCGATTCGATCATGGTGGTAAGAAAGGCAATAACAAACCCATGCTCGCACACCGCCGATCAAGCCCAAACTGTAGCCCGTCGCAAAATCTTCGTTTCTCCCGTTTCCTCCGCCTGGACTGTCAGGACGACCCAATGCTTCAAGTCGTGACACATGTGATTTCTGGCCGCCGGTAGGACTGGTCAGCCCACCATTACCGCCACGCCCGCCTCCCAGATCCATGCTGTTCCGGGCGCTCGGGGCAGGACTGCCAGGCCGGCTGTTTTGCCATAACTGTCGCAATTCTCGGCCCAGTTCCTGGCCAGTGGCTGTCCAATTGTTGCGAATGTTGTCCCGAAGCTCCACGACATGTCGCTTGATCTCCAATTCATTCTTCTTGATCCATGACACGTTCAACTCCTGTCTCGAGGCACCTCGCTTGAATTGACGGGCAATGTACTGGTCGTAGTCGCGGACAATTCTGGGAGAAACGAAATGGTCAGCAGCCACGTCTGCCAAACGGGGAGTCCCTTTGAAGGAAAGACAAACCTGGTGATAATGCCCGTTGTGCTGACACCCTCAGTTCTCTGCGTAACCAGGAACTTGCCCTGAGCCTTGATCGGTGCATAAATGTCGTCTCCTTCCGCAGCCCCATAAGGCAGGTCGTCGTGAGCAACATAATCGATCTGATGCGCCTCAATGAACTCCGGAGTCACGATCCAGGGACAGTTAGGAATCACCTCGTCCACCCATTTGCAATGGCGGACGCTCTCTGCACGCTCCCGACCGCTGAGCACGGTAAGACCCTTGCGCTTGTGAGTCTCGTCGTCTCCGGTCACACCGACAATGAGATACACTTCGGGGAAAGCCTTTTTTGCTTGTTCCAGCTGCCGCATGTGTCTGTCAAAAACCACCAGAAATGAGCATCAAAGTGCATTACTGCAGATAATAAAAGTGTAGACATACCMCACATGAAACAAATCGAAAACACCATCCGCATAGACGCGAACCGGTCGCCCCGTCGGAGGTGGATTGGTGTGGTACCCAACGGGATGCTGCAGCCCAGCTCTCTCGGGCGGTTTCATCAGATGCGCTCTCGTTTCTGCATCGGCGCCGGCGGTCTTGATGTGCAACCCCGGTCGACCCGTCGCCCCATGCTCAATGTCACTACTAGCTACAGTGGTCTCAGATGGCTCGCCAGGATCTTCCTGATGGATGGCTGATGCGTATTCTGTGGTTCCATTGGGCGCGGAGGTCTGAACCTCACCAGAGGACGATTTCCGAGCCCGTTTCGAAGGCGGGATGGGACCCCCGGCCGAGGTCACATCAATAGAAGTATGTTTCCTGTTTTTGCTTGCTGTCGGGGTGATCGGATCGGCGGAGTCGTCTCCTTCCTCACCGGACGCGTCACGAGACGATGGTTGGAGAAGATCGGCTGTGGACGATTTGGCAATGTCGGCCGGTAAATGTTGAGAAGCACTGCGCTTGCGTTTGGCCGCAGTAGACGACGGAGACGACATATTGGCTGACCGAGGAGCACTGCTCTACTTCTGTCGGGGAGTTGAAAGATATAGGGTATCTAGTTGAGAAAAACCATGAGAGATTTCAGGGGTTGGACAACCAACGAACAGAAGGAGGTTGCAAAGAAAAAAATCGAGGAGAGGAAATGGGGTCAGGGAAAGTGCTGAGAGCTAAGGTAGTCTTGTCAATTAGTCTAATAATAATACCTAATTAAAAGGAGAGAGGGAGAGACCCTGAGACAGAAGGCGGAAGAACTAGCAGTACGGAGTACGGAGTAGACTAGACTAACTGGCTGATCAGGCTAGCGGGAGACAGTCCCGGTAGGAAGCTACCTAGCCCAGTACTAATGGGGCCGAGTCTCAGATCCCTTTTTTCGATATAGGTGATTCTATAGAAAGGGAGAGGAATATCCGACAGAGAATTGTCATATGCAATGGGCAAATTTTTTTTTTGCAGCCTTCTGATAAACTGAGTTACCTTACCTAGGTTATAGACTGCTCTATCAACATACGGAGTACAGCGATTACATCAGACTCCACTTACCTAACGGAGTAAAGTACGGTAAGGTAAGGTCAGATACCCTGTTGATACCGAATAGGTACTTGTGTTGGTAAGGTATGAACTGGGTACCAGGCGCTATCAAAAAGCATTTAGATACGTGCTGTATAAAAATTCGTGCAACCTATGGGCATTCTCTGATTAATGCAATTCATACAACCATTGCAGTGCACAGCTAAGGTACCTACCTAGGCGGATTCTGTCGCCATGAGAGTGTAATTTTACAATTCATGAATCTGACAATACTCTCATAGTGATACTAAGTTGTCTCTTTGCTGCCTCGAACTACTAGTAGCTTCTATTTGGTTCTGCCAGTCTATCGGTGATCGCAAGCTCTTTGCATATTACTTCTAGTGGGCCGCTCATGGGTACGATATCGGAGGAGATCCAAAAAAGAAATATAGCCTACTGGAATGCGTCATATTTCCCTGAAACCCCACTGCTGAAGCATTGGAAAGCATTGCCGCCCCGTCGCAGACGAGAATGATCTTGATGCTGTAGATGGACATTCCAGATACGCCGAGAGATGTGAAGAAAGACCCGTATTGTCCTGTTTCCCTTCCTCTGCCAGCCAATGTACAACGCCGACGACTTGTGAAAAATTTTTCTTGATCGAGCGCTTTCCTGGCCCACAGGGCAACCCTCCAAGTCCAGAGCCGGAGAGCGCGGTGATGAGGAGATATACCAGCGGTGATCACAATATGAGGGGAAGAGAATGGTAGAGGGAAAAGAATAAAGATAAAGCGTGACGTAAGAGCAATGGGTCGGGAAAGGTAAGAACCGAATTCATAGAAATATGAAGATTCATCATCGGTGGGTGTTTTGTGCGGTATCTTGCGTTGGATCAAAGCATAAAATAAACGTACTCTCGTGAGGTCTGCCGCTGGCGGCTCCGAAAAAAAACAGAACATAGCAGAATAGAAGACGAAACGCCTTATCACTCAGGAAAGCCCCCAAAGAATCCCTCCGACACGACATAAAGAAGTCTACCTGGCCAGGGCTAGAGGAGCATCCCACTGAATTTCGCCTTATCCACAGTCACAGGGCGTCGCTAGTGACGAAAGACATAGACTTTGAAGGTCATATCGAAAGACATTGCGAGGGTCGAGGAAACGGAAATTGTTGAGAGTGGAGGATAAGGGCGGGCCGTTCAGTCACGCACAGGATGTATTCGCAAAACCAGATCGGAGAGGAAGAACACGCAAATGAATCGTCGTCACTACGAGGAGGCGGACTTCTCCGTGGCTTCAGTCCCGCTGCCAGAAGAGTTCTTGTTTGTGCTTGAGGGTGATTCGGAAAGGTTGGCGGCAGTCGAGGACCCCTCAGCCTTACTCGCGGTCTCGTTCTTCGACTGGGGTCCCGGGGTACCTTCACGATCTCCTCGAGCCGACGAATCGGGCGACTCGTGTTGCAAATGATTTGTAACATCTCGATTTTCCTCCCTTTGGTCAAAAAGTTCCTCGTCATTCTGTTCGGGAATTAGTTCAGTGCCGTCACCTAGGAGAATGATACGGCCGGAACGGACACTGAAGCCGCGGGAGCGGTCGTTTTCAAGATCATAATTATCGGGGGTCTCTTCGAATTGATTGCGGATACCAGGTCCACGGAATTCAGCTATAAACCCCATCTCTCAGTCAGTAGCCATCGGCGACCATGGGATCCTCGAGACACTTGCCGTATTCAGGCGGCGCGCATGGGCCGTCGCCGTTAGCTACCCGCTCAGAAATCTGATTGTACCATTCTTCCTTGGTCTTGCCATTAAGAAGACCAATGATGATCATGGTCATGTTGTCGCATCCAACACCTCCGGTCTCACTGTTAGAAGCAAGGCAGTTGTCCATCATATTCTCACAGATACGGTAAAGGTCCTGTTTTGCAGCAATACCTCTCCGAACAAACTCGACCACGGATTGGGAGGACTGACAGTCCCAAATACCTACAACCAAAATCGATCAGCAAAGGGAAACAAGACAGTGCAATTTGCCGATAAGCCCGCATTATAGAAGACGCACCATCACAGGCGATTACAAGGAATTCATCATCGTCAGTCACTTCGTGAACTGTCACATCGGGATAGGCTGTGACAATCTGCTGTTCAGGTGAGAGCTCGGGGCTCTTCTTGAACTCGAAATCACCAATGGCCCGAGACAGGGCCAGATTACCATTGACTCGACCAAAGTCGACAAAGCCACCGGCGGCGCTGATACGAGCTTTCTCGCCTATATTCGTATGTTAGGTGCGAAAATTCGGAGGGTTGGATTGCGGGACACGGACCTTCATTCTGTGGCTTGTGGTCGAAAGAGAGAGGCTTTGCGCGGCCCTTTACACCCAATACTGAGCGCGAATCGCCCGCGTTTGCCTACCATCCCGATTAGCCTTTCTCCTGATTGCGATGTGATAGCGGTAAGGCATAGGTTGAAGGACATACGACCCAGATCTTGTTCTTTGAAATAACGCTGACGGCAGCTGTGCAACCGGAGACTTCCTCCTCATACTTCGGGTCTAGACAGGTCAGTTTTGTCGAAAACCCCAGCCAAAGAGGACAAGGGAACAGAAGTAAAATTCCAGAAGTCCAGGGTGGCCTTCACTTACCTTCCAAGATAGCCCGATCGGTGGCCAGGAAGCCATCCTTCAAGGCCTGCTCGATATCGCCCTTCGCAAAGGCCTCTTGCTTTGCGACGATCTTATGCACGTTTTCTCCCGCAAATAACGCTACTTTATCTCCACCGTGACCGTCATATACACCGAAAAAAGCGAGACGTTTATCGGGATCTGTAGGCTTTTCGGAACCTCCTGTGGATTTGGCTTGGAGGTCTAGGACTGCAGCATGGGCGTCCTCCATGCTGATTCGCCAGCCCTGCATGGCCGACAAACCATACAAACAACACTCATCTTGACCTTCGGAGGAAGTCTATTCACGGATAAGCATGAAAAATGTTAGCAGTGATCGGGGAGGTATATTCGAATGAGCAATGGTGGCTGATTGTCCGGGAGTGTGTCCGCCGCAGAAATCGGTCTTTCGCGTGAGCACCCCACAGGCCCGCATCACGAGCAGGCGGCAACCAGAAGACCTCAGACGAAAAGAGTGCAATTGTGAAATTCTCGACAAAAAATCAATCAAATTATACAAGTAGCCGTAACTGTAGCAAAGAAACTGGACGCTGTGTTGCGCACAGAATTTTGCTGTATAGGCGAGCCGCGGGCTTTTGAACAGGGGCGGTTGAAATTGCGTAACGAAGACAGCAATGTGGGGGATCGAAAGCACGACGAAAGAACAGATGATTTGCTTACCTTCTCGACCACAGGTTCAGATAAGGTCTGACCCATGTTGTATAGCAGGTCAACGGTTAGATCTTGAGAATTTCAAAGATGGTGAGAAGAAGTTTTTTTTCTCGGGCCAAAAGTCACGCATCCACAAAAGTGAAGGAGAATTGAAAGGGGATTGGGAAGGGCTCGGCGTTGATCGATTTGAGGGGACGGAGGAGGAGGGGAGGGAAAAGGCGGAAGAGACAAAAAGCATGAAGAACTGGCTGAGGGCAAGGGCAGGCAGTACGGCAGTAAGGTACAGTAAGCGGTGGTATTTACTGCCTACCTTACCTAGGTACTTATTACCTACAGACCTGGAGCTGGGTCACCTCTCTAGGTGGCGGTAGTGATCCACCGAGGATGATGACGGTGATGATGAAAATGACGATAGTGATGAAAGATTATCATCTAAACTCTTGAACAGTGAAGAGGGAAAGCAGAGATGTGAGCGAACGAAAATGTCCTTTATTTTTCGTCTTCTTCAAAGTAAGAATCTCGAATTGGTCGCTGTCACGAGGCGTACTGGCCTGGCTTTTGCCTTAGGCTTCCATTGACATTTTCCAATACTAAGGTACCTACCTACCAAGGTATCTTAATCACAGGTACCTAAAGCATTATCATTGATTGGTGTCTTTATGCTGTCTGAGGGGAGTAGAAAATGAACCTACACAGGCCTATTAATGACTCAATATATTGTCAATCATAGAGATCCTTGCATATGTGACAAAGTCCTAGTAGGTATCTCTATCTAGCCTATCTTGCCCTATGAACGACTTCCAGGTTGGCATTAATCATCTTTTCTAACTCTCTTCCAAAGATGAGTTCGAAGTCTGCTAGTCGCGTGTTCCGGTCGCCAGGAGAGCTGACACTGCCGGTATTCTGAATTCAGCAATCCGCTTACCTAGGAACCAGAAGTAACTGATTAGGGTACAAGGTTTGGTCCTTCCTGACTATTATTGAAGAACTATATCTCCTAGTTCCATTATTATTGCACATTTGACAGTGTATGACAAACCCTTGCTGGTGCCTGGTGTCCAGAGCAGTCTCTAAGCAGAAGGAGGTCATGTGTCTGCACTAATACATACGTACATGGGATGATCTATCGACAGTTGCCTACCTTTAACATCGGAAATGTGCATTACCGAGTATCTGTGTAAACCTGGCATCTTATGCATAAAGCTAAGGTACTAAATAGGGATTTATTAGCCACTTACATATCTGTTTTATGACTAGATAGGTAGCTTCCAAGTTTCAATATAGTGAAGAATGGTTTGACTTCCAGGATTCCAGGTGGTTTGATACTAGTTTACCAAGTATGGCTGTATTGATGACACCATCATGATCTAGGTGCAATCTCTTGAGGACGAACCAAACAGGAGATGGAAATACCTTGGAAATGAAGTAAATAGAGAAATTCACTAGGTTCTCCAAGTGCTTCCAACACCGTGGCCGGCCACTATGTATCTAGACAGAACAGCAACCTTGGGAATCAATAATACACTCCGTATAATGACAATGAAACCCAAAAGGCACAGCTATAACACTGAAACTTCTGACGATGAAATGATAAAACAGGCACAAGAAGTGCGAAATGCTAAGTGCTCTATTTGACTGGACAAGATCACACAAAAGTAGCGTCGCTCCTGACACTGTTTACAACATCCCTTTGTACATTGTCGCCAGGTTGCTCAATGCTGACAGACTGACGATTTCTCCATCGTTGGTCATAATTCATGGTCTGGTCGCCCCCGTTCTCCATGCCAGCAAACCGCACCAGACTCACCCGGCGTACGGTACTGTCGACTGGAACCGATGAGGTTGAAGGACTCCTCCGCAGCGAAAACCGATGGGTGCTAAAATCTCCTTGCAGATAAGGATTGCCCCGGTACCATCGACGTTGACTCCCGCAAGAATCTTCATTTACGTTCTGGGAATCGTCCGAGCCGTGCTCCAACCGTCGACTGCTACTCAGGCTTGTTTCGCTGAAGAACCGGGGAAGTGGCGAGATGATTTTGGAATAATTCTGCGCTAGGCTCGATTGGCTTTGCTTTTTTGGTAATGGTACGATAGGTCGGGCGCTCGAGGCTTCTAGACCTAGTGACTGCAAGAAGGTCGAATTGCGGTTGTCCTCTGTATAGACGGACGCAGACATTGCTGACATCGCCATCGAACCCGGACGGTCCTGGATGTACGACTGTCGACGACCATCGTTGTAGATAGAACTGGACATTGTGTCCGCGCGACTAGCCGTACTTCGAGCTCTCTCTAGGGCGCGGAGACCAGAAGACGTCCGGCGTGTGAATTGCGCTGAGAACATGGGGTTGGAGGAGTTTCTATTTTTCGCCCGGTAATGAACGAAGGCTTCCAAAGAATCGGATTCTGAAATAGTTGGACTTTCTGGCTCCACGGCCCGCACCGTGAGCTGTCTTGGATGGTCAAGGACCCTGAATTCCACGCTGTTTCTCCCACGAGGGGGAGGCCGGGGGAACAGGGGAGCAAGATTTCCAACGCTGCTCTCATCGCTTTGCAGAGAAGCGTGAGTGTTTTGCCATGATACTCGAACCACTCCATGTCCAGGAGGCCCGAATCCTCCAGCTCCATGACCTGCGCCGCTCAGCCTTACCGGTAGCCCAGAGGCTACAGATGAAATGCCGCTCGAGCGCCTGGAGTACCTTCGGGACCTAGACGAGGCCGCCGAATTCCTCTTCAATGATCTTCTTGGCTGTATAGATTTAAGGGGCTCTCGTTTTGTGGAATTGGCCGTTGTTCGTCTATGTAATGAGGGACTGCTCTGGAACGACAGTCGTTTATTCTGGGAAGGAATATCCTCCGCTTGTTTTTCTTGCGGATTATGGCGTGTCAAGGGGGCAAAGTCCCATTCGATCGTCGAATGTGAAAGAGAGTTTTCCTTGTCGTCCGAATCGTGCACTTGCCTGCTCTCTTCCAGCGATTTTTCGCTCCACAAAGGTCTCAGCTCCAATTTTGGCGGCTTTGAGGACGGCGACGGGCTCCTGAGGATGATAGGAGGGTCATCGGGTTTGACCGTTTCGTATGGCTGGCACGGAGGGAGATCCGAAGGAGTTAGTCTTGGATCTTTCTCAGTCGGAAATTGCCCTTTTTCTTGCGTTGCAGCTTTCGTCTTGCGCTTGTGGCGCCAACAGCAGAAGACTGCAAAGAGAACCATCACGAAAACAATAGGAATCACAACCGCGACGGCAATGATGCCGGCTTTCTTTCCGTGGGCACCCCTGCCATTGTTCGAGTCTGCTGATTTAGCTACGCTACCGTCTTGTCGGCCCCCTCGCACAGCACGGATAGTAAACTGTTCGCTGTCTTCTGCAGTCCCCTCACGAGCAGTCAACGTGATGGGGAAGCTACCCGGTTCAAGATCCGTGGGGACATGTCCATAAAGAGTCTTGTTAGCAGAGTTGTACCGCAGCCAGGGCAGTCGCTGACCGAGATTCACTTCGAGTTGGACTGAGTCATTTTTCAAGATCGAGTTGTTAAAGACCAGTGCGAAGTCATCGCCAATCACCGCGTTGCACTCTTTGATGTCCTCTGTGAAGAATTGTGAATATTGCAGAGTGACGATCATTCGAGTGACATCTCCATACGTGTCCCTCACGGAGATTGTGACATTCTCGTTCATGGCATTGGCGGGGGGAGTGCCACTCAAGGAGATAGTATCTCTGTCGAAGGTTAACCAGCTCGGAGCCTGGGCCTCAGTAGAAGTCACTTCACCGTTTCCTGGTTGTCTGCCGTCTAGGGTTAGAATGTCGCGGAAGTGACTGCTACTGAAATGCTTTCCTCTAGTGAGGAACAGAGTCTGCGTGCTCTGATTGAATGACAAAATGTGCGGACTGACGGTCATCTCAAAACTCATCGTGGCCGCACTGAAGCCAGCGACATCCGAGGCGACAAGATTGAATGTAAACGTCTGAGGCCCAGTGTTGGGGGTCGTACCGGAGAACGCGAGATTAGACGGGTCAAACCGAACCCATGATGGCAGAGGGGTGTTCTGCGGGGACGTGCCATAGAAAAAGGTCGAGGTGTGAGTATTCGCGAACGTATCATGATCAAACGAGATCACAAACGAATCCCCGGAGTGCACGAAGATGGTTGATGGTGCTGATGTAGCACCAATGGCTTCAAGTTGTGGCAGCAGTGCCTTTCCAGGCTTCGGCCCATCCTCTGCCGTGACGATTAGAGTAACTTCCATGCTCGCAGAGTCTGGCCCGTTGTTGGCCACGAGTTTGAATTTGTTCGGTCCCGTGTCTAGACTTGTAGGAGTACCGGATAAGGTCCGGCTTGAACTGTCTAGGTGTAGCCATGAAGGCGCACTTTGCAGAGAATATTGTGTTCCCGCTTCTGTACCGCCGAAAGTCCCTGGTGAGAAGACGAAGTGGAATGGCCGTGAGACTCGAGCCACAGGCGGTAATTGCGCATTTACCGGGTAGTTTGGAGCTAGACTTGCGTTGACAGCGACGAGCAGTGCCAGGACGACCAACGCGATGAGTGCCATAGCTCGTCGAAGCCTCAAATGCTGTTCTGTGGCCACAGAGGAGGAAGCTCGCTTGGGTCAACCGTCAGACCATCCAGACACCGGAAACTTGGATACAGACAAGAGAGGACACGAACGAGGGCGACAAGTATGAGAGGACGTCGTAGGCTACCCACCCTTCTTCAGGGTGATTCCGCCCAAGGACCAGCCATCTGAGAAAGGAGCGGCGCGAAAACTGCCACCCTTTCAAGGAATCCACACCTGAATATTTTTGACGTCACTCAAGTATGGGAGCGAAGAATTGGTTCAAATTCCGTTCCGCGCGCCGGATTAAAAGTCACGTTGTGATATGCGCGCCCTGCAAGGGGGTATGAATTGATACTACCGCTCAGGAGCGAAGGAGGGAAGGCGAACCTAGGTCTCAAGATTATCCCTTGGAGTACCCAGGGGAACTAATAAGAGAGATAAAGAAAGACATTGTCGCATCTATCTCGAATCTTAAGGAGCTCAAGGGGAAGAGCTTTCGGTCAAGCCAGGCTCAAAGGGTTCAAAAATTGAAGCCTAAGAAATCCAAAGGGTCTCAGTCGCGTTCGAGGTCAAGGACCATCCGAATTCCAGTACGACCTGGCGCGTAGTAGTCGGCAACCTCCTCCCGTTCTTTAAACCCACTGCGATTGTACAATGATCGAGCGGGCTCCCTGGCCTTGTCCACCCATAATTGAATGTGTTGGCAGCCTTCCTTCTGTAGACGTTGCCGAATGTAGTTCATAAGCTGCATCCCGATGCCCTGCCGACGAAATGCATCTACAACACAAACTTTGTGCAGTAAAGCTACTCCTTTCTGCCGAACATAGACAGCATAGGCGACTAAACGATCCGGTACACCAGAAGCTGTGCTGACCGCATACAAGACCCTCGTATTGGGCTTCTGCTTCCAAAGGTCCACTCCAAAGGCGAATGCCTCGTTAGCCGGAAAAGTCTTCTTCTCAATTCGTGCAATCTGTGCGAGGATCTCGAATGCCTGATCTTTGCCTAAAGCATGAATGTCTGATATGGTTAAATTGACTGACATCGTCGATCTTGCAAAGTCTCCCAGAAGATCTACATTCAGGGCTGTAAGAGACAGTAAGACGAGGAGACGACAGTGTTTCAGGGATGCTACTCCCCTAGCTAATTCGGCATGAAGGAGGTAGTCCGAAACACACCACACTGAAGAATGGAGAAAAGGAAGCTCAGAGTTTAAGGTACCTTTTGGCAACAAGCAGACTTCCGACTGAAGAACTTTCGCCAAAGGTATTCACGCCTGAGGCAGAAGCAAAGCTCACGGAGATAGCTGAGTTAACCAATCAGATTCATCATGCCAACGCCACAGGACTCCACTGGATGATCAATCAGGTACGTTCATAAACAGTACCTGGGTAATCACGTAGGTACTCTTAGGTGAGGTACCTTGGGTACGGCTTAGTTTACATTCTCCAATACAAGGTCAAGGCCCTCGGATTTTCAAAAGCTGCACAAGCCAAACATCGACTGTTGCATCCATCATCACTGGACATGCCCCCGCAAGCTGAGGACAAGCGCCAGGCCGCCCGCGAAGTCATCGACATTCTTCACGAAATCTCAACCCTCCTGGTATGTGCTTTCACCTCTCCATTTTCCGGTATGGCTTTGTGCTATGTGGACTTCATTCGGCAAAGATGTCTGGCGGTGGTTGAGACGTCAACTGACGCATGGCGTGAACCTGGTCTAGAACACGAATCTGGACCGGACAGAGCTCTCCCTCTGTGTGTCTCTCATCGAAAATGGAGTCAATCCTGACGCTCTGGCGGTAAGTTTCTATCCCCCTTTTTTTTGTTGGAAAGACAAGCCTCGGCGTGATTGATGGGCTAGGACTAACACAATGCTGTGCCATTGACTGGGTATAGACTGTTATAACTGATCTTAGGAAGGAAGCTGCAGCAACCTCGCGCGGTCTTGCGAATAAGCACTCCATGCCTGAATAATTGCTTCTAAGTGCTTCGCTGTTAGCAAGGTAGACATTTTGCTATTCCACTCGGCTTTCAGCTAGCTGGCATATCATGGTTCTTGGTGGCGTCAAGGTGACCTGGCTTTCCTGATTTCTTCTCTGTCTATTTTGTGCGAATCTTTACATTTCTTCATCTGGGTTGGGACAGGACGATACTCTTTACGAAATATAACCACGGCTACTGGTATTTGGAAATCGATGCTCAGAATTGTAAGCTTTCAATACTTCGATTTCCCATGCCTGCGTCATGGCACCCCTGGTATCATAGAATCGACTATAAACACAAATAGAGAACGGTGGTAGGAAGACAGGACAAACGAGGAGACGCAACAAATGATAACTGCTGACAAAAGATACGCGGTCAAGGGCTGGCCGCTTACTATGACTTTCCAGCGGCCTGTGTCTGTTTGTCATCCTTTGTAGAACCAAGCTCACCGGCCATCGCCTCTGCTGTAGCCTTCTTGACACGATCAGCTTCGTCAACATTACTCTGCTCTTTGGCCTTAGTATCTCTCTCATCTTCGCTGTCTCCGAGGCTGAACGGATCATTTTCTGCGACAGGCGATGGCTCCACTGTGGCCAGCGGCTGCCATTTGCTCGACTTGCCTCCCGTGGATGTGCGTTTGGCCGGGTCGGAAGTATCATAATGATTGCCGATCTCGGATGGCGGACCCTCTTGAAAAGATACCTTACGTCTGTCAGGTGAGGGAGAAGCTGATTTGTACAAATTTGGGTTGGCAAGTGGTCTCCTTGGTGGTTGGGGTGGAGGTGCTGCAGTAAAATTAGAAATCGTCGCAGAAAGAGTAGGGTTCACGCGACTGGGCAGACCTTCAGAGTCTCTCAGTTCCAGCGCAGAGAAATCGTCGCTCAATAACTGAGGGTCAGCATCGTAACGTTCGCGGTCACCGCTGCGACGACCCATATCGCCACTCCTTCTTGGCCGACTGTAACCTTGGCCTTCACCATAGCGCTGGTTGGATGGACCCTCATCGACGTCTTCACCGTCAAGTCGCTTTTTGAGATTCTGGACCCAAGAGTTCACTTTGGACTGAGTCTCCAGGAAGCCCTTGCGAATGTTCTCGCGGATTACAGGAAGATCATCTAAGCCAAAGCGCGTTAATAATAAGGCAAGGCTGGTAATATTGCGTAGCATCGCATACCGTCAAAAAAACTGTATTCCCGCTCCTCCGACTGATCGCTTCCTCTTCTAGCCCGGTCTTGTCGAGATTCATCCCAGCGGGTTTGCGGTGCACGACGATTGTAATGCTCGGCTAGTTGACGGGCATACAACTCATCCGCTTCCAATTGCCTCTGCGTCGCAGACGGACGAGGAGGCTTTGGAGGCGCTATTTCTTCCTGCTGAGCGTGGGGGTCGGTCATGCCTAGGAAAGCATTTTGTTAATGACCGCAAGACCGGCACGGGTTCAGCTTCACATACCAAGGAGAGCATGAAAAGCCCGTTCGACATCCCAGTTGCTGGCCACTAAAACTGCCCTGACGACGGATGCTTCGATGGTGGGAAAGGCTTCTTTGAGGGTGTTCTCTGCCTGTTGCCGCGGGCTCACTGGACGGGGTGGCTTTGGCGGGGCAGCTTCTGTACCAGTTTGTTGGGGAGGGGCAGTGGTAATACCGGTCTCTTGAGGTTCATCATCGAAATCCAAGGGACGCGCAGTAGTCGGCGACTCCGGTTTAGGACTATTAGGGCCAGCTGCCGATTTGCTGGGAGTCTTGGGAGAGGTTAGTTGTTATCATGTCACAAAGGGCACATGACAGCCTACCATCTTGTCCTCGTCCGACATATTGCTCGGAATGATTTCGATCTCAGTTGGTCGAATGAGTGTACTTGTGCAGACAGTATGGAGGTCTGTTGCGCGACGCGTACGTCCCAAAGTGAGATTCAAAGTACTAGATAAAGGTATCTGTAGGCAGAAAGTAATTCAGGGTCATAGCCGTTATTATTGGAAGACCACCTCCTATCCAAAGCTCCAGACAACGGCTGCTTGTGATTGGATTCAGGCCCGCAGTGACGTTTGTGGCACGTGATACAGAAGTCCCGCCTTACCTAATCTATGTACTATCCATATCTCTGAGCCTMAATTATCTGGAAGCAGTACCTCCTCAGAGGAAGTAAAAAATAATTTACTATAACTTACAGTAAATCTGCAGCTTACTTTCTTCTGAGCTTGAATGTACATGGCCTGAGACATTCTGCATAAACGGGGCCTATGTCATCCATTCAATATGCCTCAATTGTGTTTTATCTTAAACCTTAAGGCTCTGACCAGTTGAATTAACATCACTGAAAGTGGTTGATACCAACATTAACAATGGCTTCAGAATTTGAAATCACCTCCACGTTCATTCCAGCCTTATATAAGCCGGCTGCATTGCTACCAATTGCAAGGCATCGCCAGAGCTTGCTTTATCTCGTCGAAACATACCCTGTCACGATCGTCGTTGGACAAACTGGCAGTGGAAAAACAACACAGCTACCACAGTATCTAGATCAAGCGGGATGGTGTGCAGATGGTAAAGCCATAGCTGTCACTCAGGTATTGTTCGATCCCCTCCACCATGGCTCCGTACGTGAGGATGTGTTTGCTAAGCTGGCAACAGCCGCGTCGGGTGGCTGCCACCACTGTCGCAGCTCGAGTGGCCGAGGAGATGCGCTGCAAATTAGGCGAAGAAGTGGGATATTCGATTCGTTTTGAAGACGTGACATCTGCTTCAACAAGAATCAAGTTCCTAACTGATGGAATGTTACTCCGGGAGGTTCTCGTAGATCCTCTTCTTTCTCGGTATTCGGTAATTATGGTCGATGAGGCACACGAGCGATCACTGAGTACCGATATTCTTCTTGGAATACTCAAAAAGATCATGAAGAGACGCCCCGAACTCCGGATCGTGGTCAGTAGTGCGACTTTGCAAGCTGAAGACTTTCTGAAATTCTTCGCCGGGGATGAATTTCAGGGCGACGGAGAAGCCGGCGAAATGGGAGGAAGCATCGGAAGAATTATTAGTCTTGAGGGACGAATGTATCCTGTCGACATTCTGTACCTCGAAAATCCAGCAGAAGATTACGTGGAACGAGCCGTCAAAACTGTATTTGACATACATTTGCAAGAAGGTGACGGAGATATCTTGGTTTTCCTGACTGGCCGAGAGGAGATCGAGACCACGATCCAATTGATAACAGAACGCGCTGCTACCCTGCATCCTAAAACACCAGCTCTTCTGCCGCTTCCTCTTTATTCTGGTCTCACAACGGATCAGCAGATGTACGTCTTCGAGCCAGCCCCTGAAAACATACGCAAGGTCATCGTGTCGACCAACATCGCAGAAGCTTCAGTCACTATCAACGGTATAGTATACGTCGTCGATTGCGGATTTGCCAAGCTCAGAGCCTATAATCCAAGCACAGGTATAGAGACATTGACGGCTGTCCCGATATCAAAAGCAGCTGCTGTTCAGCGAGCAGGTCGCGCTGGTAGAACGAAGCCAGGCAAGTGCTTCCGTCTGTATACTCAGCAGGCCTATGAAAGATTGCCAGACGCTACCGTTCCTGAAATCCAACGCTCGAACCTGGCCCCTGTGATCATGCAGCTCAAGGCCCTGGGTATTGACAACATAGTACGATTCGATTTCTTGACGCCTCCTCCTGCGGACTTGGTGATACGTGCCTTTGAGCTTCTATACTCGCTTGGAGCAGTCGATGACTATGCGAAACTTACCAATCCATTGGGGATGCGAATGGCCGAACTCGCCTTAGATCCGATGTTAGCAAAAGTCCTCCTCAGCGCGCGATCCTTCAACTGTTTGAGTGAGATCCTTTCCATCGCTGCTATGATCAGTCTCCAAGGTTCTGTGTGGGTGCAACATGAAGGCGATAAGAAGTCGGCGGAGAGCAGCCGCAGAAAATTTGCCGTTGAAGAAGGGGATCACTTGACCTACCTCAATGTGTACCAGGCATTTGTCACGAAAGGAAAGAAAGACCCCAAGTGGTGTCGGGATAACCTCTTAAACTATCGCTCGATGCAACGGGCTGTTAGCATAAGAGCTCAATTAAAACGCTACCTTGAGCGCTTTGGGTTTCAAGTGGATGAGACTCTCTCTGGTCGCCACGGAACGGCTGATCTAGCCAGACCGGCCGAACAAATTCAGAGATGTCTGACAACTGGCTACTTCGCACATGCTGCAAAAATGCAGCCAGATGGGACTTTCAAGACGGTTAGCGGAGGGCTTACTCTACATGCGCATCCAACGTCCTTAATGTTTGTACGTGCTTGCCATTATCAGCCTCTGTCACCATACTTCTCCAATTTACTGACTGATTTATATTCAGAACCGAAAAGCAGATTGGGTCATCTTCCATGAGATATTGCAAACCGGTGAGAAGACATACATTCGTGACATCACCAAGATCGAGAAGAGCTACCTGCTCGAGTATGCGCCGGATTTCTACAAAGTCCAGTGACTCGATCCTCTCTGTGGATCGACGAGCTTGGGTGCTGATAACCCGAGAGTGCAAGCTAGCAGGCAATGTGCAGAGTTTCATTGCCATATAGTCTTAAGCAGTAATCGGCCTAAACACAGGCTTCGTGATAGACCGCGTGTATAATGGTATAATGGAGCATATTGTTGACACAGCGATATTGCGATTCGTGCAATGTGGCAAGAGAAAATGTGCAATATCTAATGACGATACCCAGGAGATGAATAATCTCGATAGATAGCATTCATGGAGCGAGAACATGGTAGATCATCTCAGTGATTCCCATTTCGTAGGGATCTCCGAATGTTCTAAATTGAGACAAGCATTACGCCCCGGAATCATAGAAGGCCCGCCGTCCTCTCAAGGTCAAGCAATTCTTTCAAATTTTGTTCAACGATCGTTAGTCATCTCAAATACAAACTAACAAATAGAAAACATTCTGATACCCCTCTCGCCTTGATAAAATGCCCGGCCATCATCACCACCATCATGACCATGGCGGACATTGCCATGGAGAGGATGGACATGATCATTCGAACGATATCACCCCTGCCATTCAGTCCCTTCTTTACTCACAGATCGCCTTCGATGCTATTACCACACTGAACGGTATGCATACGGTAGCCCTTTATATATGGTCGTTCGCGGACATGGTTGTTGATGCAAAGCGCAGAAGCAACGCCTAAATCAGGAACTGCTATTGTGCAGAAGACATGGGCTGACCGATTAAATGATGAGCCCGAACTCGAAAGCGATGCGGATGAGCAGCTCTTAATGTATATCCCGTAAGTCTCGACCTCTATTCATTCAAGTTGAGTCTCTGCTGGCCGTCTCTCCGATCATTCGCTTTTTTGCTTTACCCCGCTGATTGCCCCTCACCTTATCAATGCTCGATTGTCGCAAAACGCACCAGTTCCACAGAAGCCTGCCCTGCCAGAGAAGCTGTGGGGATGAAGTAATGCTGAACATCCATGGTACTACAGGTTCACTGGGCAAGTGAAATTGCACTCCTTGCTAATCTACACAGCACCCACACCGTCTGCACCCAAAACCCTGAAGCTCTTCAAGAACCGGAATGATCTAGATTTCGCTACTGCCTCAGATTTGACACCCACACAAACAATCGAGATCCCACAGCCAGTTCCTGGGTCTGACGTTTTTGAGCTGCCCCTCAATCGCGCTCATTGGAATGCGACTACTTCGATCACCTTGTTCGTCGAGGACAACTGGAGCGGGGGAGAAGAGGATGTGACCAAAGTTGGATATATCGGTTTTAAAGGCCAGTATATGGCTCTGAACCGTGAACCGGTCAGTTTCCTCTACGAAGCTGCTGCAAACCCTAGCGATCATGTAGCCATTCCGGGTGTCAGCGGTGTAGGAGGAAGAATAATGCCTGGTCAATGATTTGTTCAGCTCCATGGCTGGAAAAGACGGCGTACTGGCCGGCAGATAGCTAATATAGGGCTGTTTCCATGCCTGTCACGTTGCTTTTGGCATGACTCAACTCGACCATGTACATGACTTCAAATGAAACTAATGACTGGAACTCGAGTCTGCTGTATAGCAAACACACTTCGACCGCGAATACTGCCGATGCAAGTTTTAAGCTATCATGGCCGTGTACTATCTGCAGAGAAGAGAGCACCGAACGAGGGACAAAACCAAAAAACACCAGCGCCAGAAAATGCTTGAGTCTCTGCTGTATATATATATAACGAGATTGGCAGAAGCGTACGTAATGCAGCCATCAGGAAGCAGGAACTGCAGTACGCGTCTTCATCCTGGCGGCTGAAACCTCCACGTCCTCTTTGTTGGCTTCTTCTTCGCCCTCGGCCACAACTGGAGGAGCGGTAGGGGCTTTTGGTAAGGTGATAGCCTCTGACTCTTGCCGTAATTTCTCTAACTCATCCTCAACTTCGTCCTCATCCTGGTTCGACAACTGTCCCGCAAGCATCTGGCTGATTTCCTGTAATGGCATCTGGTTAGCACAAGGATTGCCCCATTCACAGGGTTTAGCTCCACGTCTCTTTACCTCTTGGTAGGCCCTGGCTTCTTCAGTTTCGCCCATCAGCTTCTCTACAGCTTCGATACCCCCCATTTCCTTGTTGATAGCTTGGAGCACCTTTGTTCCCTGTTGCAAACCAAAGAGAACATCTTTCTGGACTAAGGAAAATTCCACCTGACTCGTCAGCTGCTCCAGCTGCTCCAGCTGCGCATCTGTTTTACTTAGGAGTGTTTCTTGATATTTCTTGCGACGAAGAGCCAGCAGTGCACGTCGGCGGTCATCTCGGGCAAGACATTCCTTTG